CTTTCCAGTGCAGCTAATAACGAATAGCGCGGCGACGGTGGCTTGTACGTCTCTGTGCATACGCACAGTTCGTTGTACATTCAGATCCAGTAGCGCACAAGCGAATGCCCAATCACCATAGATTTTAAAATCGAAACACAATCATCATGTGATGAAGAATCCAACGATGCCCTGTCCCTGGAACACAGTTCTTCTCCGTACCAAAAAAAGGGGAATATAATTAGTCCACGCGCATGTTGTGATTATAATGCTTCTAAGCATGAATCAACCGCGACATAGCAATCAGCATACTACTGTCTGCATTAATTCCAAACAGAAATAGGCAGCTAGCTAGCCTCAACACACATTCATGAATCATGCACACATCTACTGTTCCTTTCTACCGTTGCATGCTTCTACTGTAGATAGATCGATCGGCACAGTGCATGAATGATCAACCACAAGAAATAATATCAATGTTCTTCCAATATAGCAGTAGTTAAAGCATCTGTCTTCCCCCCCCCCCCCCGGCCATAATGTGTTGGACTCTGGTCAGCTAGCTAGCAGTTGGTGCAACACAGAGATACTATATAGCAATATATATATATATACATATATATATATATACATATATACATATATGTATATATATATATATATATACATATGTGTGTGTATGTATGTATGTATGTATGTATGTATGTATGTATGTATATATGTGTGTGTATATATGTGTGTGTATGTATGTATGTATGTATATGAAAAATGCTTCTATACACCCAGGTGTACATACTCCTGGTTTCATCCACCGTCCGTTCGCAACTAGCAGAGATCGAGTCTGCTAGCGGATCCACATACCACGACCCGTTTTGATTTTTGCGAGGAAAAAAATCATCGTAATATTTGTATCCCGCACATATCGGGAGCATACTGAATGCTCACATAAATATCTCGTTCTCACGTAGTGCTAAACCGAACAGAAAATCAACAGACCGATCCGATATAAGGGCAATTTGGAGGTGACGGCGAGGCGATACATCGGCAAGGGTGGCTGGCTTGGGCCACGGCGGCGAGTAGCAGACAACGACGGCGATGCGCGCGATCCACCGGCAAGGCCGCAAGGATGGCTCAGGCCACGGCGGCGAGTAGCGGACAACGACACAGCAGAAATCCATCATCGTCAAGCCCATGCAGCTCGTCCGCCTGCCGGAGTGCCGGCGGCGTGATTCCATCGACATGATCGGCTTTTGCACCACCATTATTTGGATATTCCCAGGTGATTGATTCTGGTATGTCCATCCCGTTTTCTCTCGTTTTGTATTTCTTGCAGATTGATCAAGGATTCTCTCTTTCTTTTTCTTACAGATCGATCGAGGTATAAGCCAGCATGAAGGTCGCCAGCTGCCTCGTGATCCATCGGCGACTCGATCGTCATCAATGGCGGCGATTCGATCGTGATCGATGGCCACGGCCATGTTGCGTCGACAATGCAGGCGCGCAGCCCATCGGCAAAGCCGGAGGCGACGACCAATCTATTGGCTCACTGAAATCATACGGGAACGGAAAAAAGCGGCGCTGGAGACATCAGACAGCACAGCACCAAGCCACCAACCGAAGATCATGGCATCCAACGAATGTATACATCAGATTATAGTAATCACAGTATATATGTGCACATCAGCTCATGTATCGATCTGGTTGCCTGCATATACATCTCTCTTCTTAATTATACTCCATTGAATCTCTTCCTGATTATATACTACTACAAGATCAACTAATTTCATATTATTTGTCACTATTACATACTACTGTGAAAAGCGCATATATATGCAACAGTTAGGAATTAATAAACCCAACGAGTATAGTCGAGTATGGCTAGTTTTGGAAATACATGCCGCTTTTCTGAATCTTTGAAAAAAGCATGTATTTTATACTACTGATACTTTTGCATCATCAAATCATGAATGCAGCCAGTAGCCCAGTAGTCTGTACTGCTACAGTGTAAAATCAAAATAGATAACAAAGTATATACCGCTAGTAACTTAAAAAATATGTTAAAAAAGGCATATACCGATACTAACTATAAAAAACAGTATATACCGATACTAACTTAAAAAAAAAAAGATACCGACACTAGTTTAAAAAGTAGCATATACTACTACTAACTGAAAATGTAGTATATACATGATCAGTATATACTACTATACTACTAACAAAAAAAAACAGTACATACTACTACTAACAAAAAAAAGGTATATTCTCCTTCAATGAGTATACTTAAAAAATGAGATATATACATCTCTGATGATTATTGTAGTATATATAGTACTTATTAACTAAAAAATAGCAGATAATACTTATATTAACTAAAAAAGGTATATACTTCCAAACAAAAAAAATAGTATATATCAAACAAAAAAAGTATATACTGACCAAATTAAAAAATAGTATGTGCAGTATATATCAAAAACTTAGTATGTCTACTGACCAAACAAAAAAACAGTATATACTCATTCAGTACGGACGTAATATATGCTGGAAAGAAAATTAAAAATTTGAAAGCAAATGCATACCAACGTTCTCGTTTGAGTGAGCACAAAATCCGGTGTCAGCTGTGCACATGCATACGGTGGTTTCAAATTAATAATTTCACTTTAATTTGGATGCTAATGGATCATCCATTAACAAGGGGAAGTACATACACCTGAGTATACAGAAGAGTCGTCCTATATATATATATATATATATCCTATATATATATATATATATGTAGGGTGGGGGCCGCAAATAATGGCCCATATGCACGATAATATTTATAGTGCGACAAGACCTGACAGTATAGTGAGATTTGAAAGCAAGCAAGCATGCACACGGGGCTCCTGTGATCGATCGTTCGATTCAAGAGGCAAACGAAGGAGGAGGTCGATCGCTGGCCTGCCGCAATTGCACCGTGGGTCCAACAAAGGCATTGCAAAGCAACCGGGCACTAAAAAAACAGGCAAGAAAAAGAAAGGGCTTGGGGTGTTGATGGCGCAGCGGCAGGCAAGGCATGCAGGCGCAAGCAGGCGCCCCGGCATGCATATGAACAGCAACGCTACAGTGTTCTACAGTAGCGCCGCGCGCGCGTGAGAGGAGGAGAAGCTAGCTAGCTAGGGGAAGGGGGGGAGAGGGCCCGGCCTGCAAGGGAAGCGATTCATTGGCTTTCCGCTATTTCTTGGCCGGCCAATGCAAGTAGTTGGTTGGACGACGACATCAGCAAAGTCGAGCCTCGCTAATTGGCCCGCCACTCCTTTGCTGAGAAAGCGAGGGAGAAAGGCTAGCCATACACTGTTCATCGTCTTCTACCTCGGTCCCTAATACTAGTATTTCAGAAAGTTAAGAGAGTTTCAGATCAGAAAAGGGAATTAATTCAGGGGAGGAGATTAACAGTATATATGCGTCGAACAAGAAGCTAATGTATGGTTCAGAGCCTGTAAATTAATTTTGGCAGGTGATTTGGCCCCAAAAGTTCCTTCAGAACACCCAAAAAAATTTTACTAGTTCAGCTGTAATTAATTAGGTGTATGCAGTACTAATAACTAATTAATCCCTCCATCTACCGTCAGCTATATTCGGAACCATGACCTACACAAACGAAACGCAACCAAAAGTGGAAAAACGAAAAGGGTGGAAAATATACAAATTAGAGGAGACGATAGAGAGAGAGAGAAAGAAATACGGAGTATAGAAAGTAGTAGATCAATCATGCATTCATGCCTGTATGTAAAGAGACAAGATTTGAATGCATTGGAGCGAGCACCATGCCGGAAGAGAGGACGACGGGCGCGTGCGAGCAACAGGCCCTGCATGAGGTGGTCATTGACTGACTGACTGACTGACTGACCGACCTGCAGAGATTGAGTGGCGATTGATCGATCGAGCGAGGGAGTGAGTGCGCAGAGCGGAGTACAAGCACGCCCACACACACGCACACTGGCCAGCATGGGTCACTAGTTCACTGGCCATGCAGACGCGGGAGGGTAGCTAGACCATGAAGCAAGCTGCACCTGGGAAGAAGATAGAAAGAGAGGGCGCGGCAGCTTGGCTGCGTGACAGTGAGGGAGTGTGCACGTGCGGTCAGAGAGACAGATCACACGGGAGGTAGCGAGCTAGCGCTAGCGAGGGCGCCTGCCCTGCCATGCCACGGGCGGCCGTTGCTCTCTCGATCCCCATCCGTAGCCTACAGTAACCAATCGATTCATTCCGCCGGGGACCAGTGTGATTGCTGATCATATATCGATCCCCTCACTCTCCTCCTCCTCCTCCACCCCCCGCTCTTTACTATTTAAAGCCGCCCACGACAAACCCCTCCCGCCTTCATGCCTGCCTAGCCCTATCTCTCCTCTTCTTCCTCCTCCTCTCTCTCTCTGTCCACTCACCATTAGAAAAGCTTCAAGAACAGATCGATGCCTGGAGACTGGAGCATCCGCATTTCAAGAACAGATCGATCTCTCCCTGCAGATGTGGCTATGAGCCTGTGAGTGGAAACGGATCGAAAAAGGTGGGAGCAAAAGGTGGGAGATGGGCTGGCCGGACGGCTGGGGAAGAAGGCCGCAGCTGGCCGGAGTACTGTAGGGAGCGTGAGGGGCTTAGGGCCGTGCGGGAGTACGTTGGGGAGCACCGCCATCAATGCAGGGGCCTAGCTAGCTAGCTTGTGCCTGTGTCGCTCTCCTCCTGCACAGTTCATCCTCCTAGGAGAGAAAAAGGAGATATGCAATTTCATCGGATGCTGCAAAAATATGTTTTTAGACAAGGAGTGTTCCCGGGTCAGATGCTGCAGATATTGAAGCAACAGGGACGGAGCCATTCTATTCTTGGTGTACTATTTGTGCCCCTAAATCCAAGAAAATATCGAGGAATTGCAGATTTGCAGTGGATGCATGTGAGTGAGAGCTTGAGATCAATCTTACGGTGCATCGCTAGTAAGTTAGTGACAAAGCTTTGCGACGGTGATGAAAGGAAAGGGCTAAGCTAGGAAGCCATTAATATTACCTGGAATCTCCATTTCTTATCAGAATATGTATGGGATCATGAGCAAATAGTAGCAGCGACAGCGATTAGTTTATTTTCCCCTACAATTCCTTGCCATGTACTAAACCTAATTAATTTGATCAAGGAAAAAGAGGGGAAAGAAGAAAAAATATAAAGTGGAGGAGATCAACGAAGGAACAAGCAAATTAAACTAAAATATACCAAAAAAACTCAGATCTTGCGATGTTGGATGCGATAAACAAATTAATGGACAAGGTTTGCAGGTTTACTATACTGATCAGGAGGCGCTTGGTGCAGTGCCACTCCCTCCAGGTTGAGCTGTGGTAGTAGCAGCTGCACCGCCACCGCTGCCCGCGTCTCCACCACCGGCAGCTGCAGCTGCAGCAGAAGACGAGCCGGACGGCTCGACGCCGGCGGGCTGCGCCGCCTGCGAGCGCTTGCGCTTCTTCTTCTCGTACGGGATGCCGCGCGCCTTGGCCTGCGAGTCCCGCACCTCGCGGAGGTAGATCCGGACGGCGCGCGCGGCGAACGGGTTGGACTCGGGCGTGCCGCCGCTCTCCTCGTACGCGGCGCGGAGGCGGCCGATGAGCGCGTCGAGGGATCCCCACGCCTGACGCAGCGGGCACGGGCACGGCCCCGGCGGGCTGGGCTGGCCGTAGAAGGCGCACCCCGACGCGTGCACCTTGGTCTTCCCGAACTGGTCCAGGTACCTCAGGAACTCGATCACGTGCGCGCCGCTGCACCGCGCCAGCGTCAGCGGCGGCCGGTGGTTCCGCAGGTACTGCAGGAACGTGTTCCAGTCCCTCCGCTTCTGCGACTCGTACCTGCTCAGCTGCGCCGGCGGCTGCGGCGCCGCCGCCACGGCCGGCGCGCCGCCAGCCGCCGCAGAGGACGGACCGGGGCCAGACGGATCCATATACCCAAGCAAGAAATCAAGCTAGCTGATGACGGCCACAGCGACGACGACCAAGCTTAATTAGCATCAAGAAACTAAGCTAGCTCTCTCTCTCTCGCGCGCGATCGATCGTCGGCGGGCGGTGAGTAGAGGCGCACCCGGCGAGGGGGGGGGGGGTGCGCGGTAAAAAAAGGAAGAGAGATCTGGGCGGTGCTCGACGGGGTGGATCGAGATGGGACGTTGGAAAGGGAGCGGGGGCGGGGGAGAGCGACGGGCAGCCGGGAGGGGAGCTGAATGTTAGTCAGTGAAGTGGAGCGGAGGGGGTGTGAGGTTGATGGCAATTGGCAGCAGCTACACTGGCGGGCCACCCGGCCCATTCACGTGGTTGCCGGCCGGCGCATCCGGAGGTGTACGTTATGTATATACGTGCGCGCCATACATACGTACTTATGAAAACCACGTAGAGATTGCACGTAGAGAGTACGTACATAATGCAATGCATACAGTACATCTCCCAGTTGTGGTTGTACTGTACAGTGTTGTGTACACTGTACAGTTATACGTGTGCTGTGCGCACCCTGTGATATATATATATAGAGAGAGAGAGATTCTGTTTATATATGGTTTCTTTTTATTTATGCTTGGATTTCTAATATGATTTTTTGGATTTTTACGGTTTATAGGTTGATGGTTTTTTAACTTTATTACTCCCCCGTCCTATTTTAAGCGCAACCATGAGTTTCCGTGTCTAACTTGAATCGTACATCTTATTTGAAATTTTTTATTATTAGTATTTTTATTATTATTAGATGATAAAATATGAATAGTATTTTATGCGTGACTTATGTTCTTTATTTTTTTTCAAGAATTAAGACAGATTATCAAAGGTTGAACACATAAACTCATGGTTGTGCTTAAAATGTACGGAAGTAGCAAGTTTAAAGGTGAATTAACTAACTCCAATCCTCATAGACCGGAAAATTTACTCAAACCTGGCTTTTGACTTAATACAGTAAGAGTGCCTTATTGCTTTACAAAAGTCTAATTAAATAGAATCATCTACGAAAATATAATCATTATGAAATTTGGATATGCTGTTCATCTCATGCTCTTGGCAAAGTATAAAATTAACTCTCGTGTTGAAAAATGCATTGTACAGCCCTCCTAGCAGAACATGGTCTTTTTACATGGGTTAACAGAGTGAAATGAATAGAACCCCGACAGTGATGATATCTTTGGGATAAGTTATGATATCTCTGGGATAAGTTGGCTCGTATAATAGAATTTCTTGGAAGTTGCATTCGTCGATGAAACGATGATTTTTTGAAATGAGGTATTTGTCAATAGTATTTGTTAGATTTTATTTTTTTATATATATACTTCTAATTTATTTATGAAATAGGAGTAGTGATATTAAAACGATGCAAAGTAAAAGTTAGCAAGCACTGAAGCACCGTCAAAAGTGAATTGGTGGGAGTACTACAGAAGGATTAACAGTGCCCTTCATACAAGTAAATTGGCGATTTGATTTTAAAAAGGTTCGTCGGCAATTTCACAAGTAATCACAAAGGCAGTACCCAAATGCATAGGGAACAACCCATCCTTTTCAATTTTCTTCTTTGTCAGTTACTTCCAGACTTTTTCTGCTTACAATACAGATTCAACAGTTCAGATGTCACTTTCTCATCTCGATCTTTTCTAATTCTAACCTTCTAGTACTATCTACATAAACTACGGAAAGAAGCTAGAGTTCTACTCCCTGACCCTTTCTAGGTTGAGTTTTTTTTGGATGGAATGAGTACAAATTAATGCTAATTAATAATTCATATACACTCCACGTTTGAGCAGAAAATTAAACTGCCAAAAAATACAAGTAATTGCAATTGAGCATATGTTCGGATGATTAATATATTTCATAATCCATTGTATCCAGCGCCATCATCAATAGCTGACACAGTGATACGTGTGATCGGTAAGTGATCGTCGGTCGGCTGCTGTACTGACGGTAGGCGTAATCCTCCAGGGACATGGATCGTCGACAGTACTGCGGAGAAGCACTATAGCTGTGCCCACCACAGTTTGTTTAATGCAGTGAATATTGAGAAAACACCGTAGCTATAGTGTGTTGATCTCTTAGTTTTTTTCTGTTATTGTTTTACATTCACTGTAGTGCAGAGGATGGCTAATAGATAGTTACATACTATTCCCTGCATCTCAAAATAAACGAATTTATTATAGGATCTACTACGGGATGTAATATGTATTAATACTTATGTTCAGATTTTCAGTAGTATCACATCTATAGCTGTTTGGTACGGCAGATGCTCCCTGTTCCATCCTCCACGAATTTCCTTTGCCTTTGAAATTCTAATTTTTTGAATAGGGGAATACTAGTACGCAAACACCCGTATTCGTCCTCTACGTACTGGTGAGCGCCTTAAATTCGCCGCCGAATCGATCGCGATTAGCCATCCGTTTTAATCAAGCTTCCATCGTCTAACGCACCGGCCGTTCTTCGCCGGTGGAGGGACAGACAGGGGATGCGGCTGCGCTACCTGCACCGATCGCGTTAAGTGGGACAAGCAAGAGCGCAAAGACAAGAGCGCAGCACGGTGCGGGAGCCCGGTGGATCAGAGCTAGTACTAGTATATACTCCAGTTTGACGGACCCAGTGCCGGCCGGGCGACGCGCGCCTGACGCCCGCGGATCGATCGATCGCCGCCGCGCGCCTGGACGAGCCCAGGTGCGCTGCCCTGACACGCCACGCGCGTGTTCATCGACAGCGCCTCCTCCGCACGGAGGAAAATGACGTCGACAGCGCCTGGCTAGCACCGTCATTACGTCAACCGCTGACGTCAGGTAGTTGGGCTTGGTCTCAAGTTCCCGACTGGGAGCACATGCATTGGGCCGGATACCAACACCACCAGGAGAAGAGGAATCCCGGCCCGATAGCACATATCACACGGATTTGTGCCCAAATTTGTAATAAGACCAATGTAGTGGGCCGACTAGTAGCCCGTAGCTCGGTAGATGCAGTGATGCACCAATTCGGATAGGGCAGGAAAGAACGGTGAAAGACGAGCGCCGCGCGAAGGCCGGTGAACTTCGTCGCCGTGATGCTTCGTCTTCCCACTCTCCTCCCCCTAAAACCCTCGCCTCCCACCACCGGCTTAAACCCCATCCACGGCCGCCGCCATGGCCACCACCCCAGCCGCCTCCTCGCCTCCTCCGCCCCGCCGCCGCCACCACCACGGCCTCCCAAGCCCGAGCCCCGTACCAGCCACGAGAACCTAGGCGACGACACCCCCGATTTCCCCACAACCAAGCCCCGCAAGCCGCGCCGCGGGCGCCGGAGCGAGGCGGCGGCGGTGGAGGACTTCGTGCGTGGCCGCCTCGAGCAGGTCTTCGCTTCCATCCGGGAGCGCGACCCCGAAGTCCTCGAAGGCAAGGGCGACATCTTGAAGCGAAAGGAGGAGCTCTCCGACGAGGAGGGAAAAGAGGGGACTGGTGAGGAAGAGGGGGAGCTGAAGGCTGTGGTTGAGGAGGAGGATCCCTCCTGGCCTCTGGACGCCGACATCGGGTGGGGGATTCGGGCGTCGGAGTACTTTGACAAGCATTCCATCAAGAATGTGACGGTGGATGGTGTGGAGATCGATTGGGAGAGGGAGGTCGAGGAGGGATGGGTCAAAGAGATCAACTGCTTGGAGTGGGAGAGCTTCGCCTTCCACCCTAGCCCCCTCATCGTTCTTGTCTTCGAGCGCTACAACAGGTATAAATCACTATTCTACCCAGACTCTATTCATGTGAACCCATAGTACCTATATGTTAGGACCAAAGTGATAAACTTCATAAACTTCAAGCTTCTCACTTTATATTGTCATATCTGATAATTTTGAATCCATTGAATCAAAAGTTCAGAACTACCCCTGAAGTAATGCATAAAAATGTAAAAATGTACTATCGTTTTGAGTTGCCTCAGAAAATTAGGTGTTCTACTTCCATGACAGGATGATATGTACGCGTAATGTTTTGCCTTTGTTTATAGGGCAGCTGACAATTGGAAGTTTCTTCAAGAATTGGAAAAGGCGGCTAAAGTTTACTGGAATAGTAAAGATCGGCTACCTCCTCGGGTCAGTGTGAATCATATTTATAGTTAATACTTGATGTATTACGGTAAGGTTATTGAGGTGGTTGGTCATATGCTAAATTTAATTGAGTTCCAGACAGTGAAGGTTGATATGAATATTGAGAGAGACCTGGCATTTGCACTTCAAGTAAAAGAATGCCCACAATTATTATTCCTCAGGGGAAACAAGATATTATACAGGGAAAAAGGTGAGTAGTTAGTTCCATTTTTATGGTAAATCCTGTTCACATAGTTAACAAATTGAATGGAACTTTGAATTATTAAATTCCTTGATTGCTAATATGCACTTTCATGTTAGGCCCACCTTTTTCAATGGTCAAAATTGCCACTCTGACAACACCTGATTGCCTCATTTGCTTGTTTACAGAACTAAGAACTGCCGACGAACTAGTTCAAATGATTGCCCATTTCTACTACAATGCAAAGAGACCATCTTGTGTTAATCCTGAAGCTATTGCACCTCCGTGCTAATCTCCTGCATTTCAGCGCTTATGTATTGAGACAGTGCCTTAATTCTCAACTCTTGGTGAGTGTACACTGTGGTAAGCTTTTCATCCAATGATAACCTGTTCCCCGTTAGAAAACTGTATTCTATACTGGTCATTGTTCTCTTTAATGTCCTTTCTCTGTATTAGTACCTGGTTCAGGGGAGAATATTATTAATTTTGCTAACTTTATTTGCCAGGAAAATAGTCTAAATAGACCAGTGTGGTTATGATGCTTGTATCTGTAATAAATGTATCACTTGAAGAGGAAGGAGAGAAACCTCTTACTGGCTCATCTCAAGTTGGGAGGGGGTCAGGTATCAACTATGTCATATATTTTGGTATGCTCATGTTTTTAGCTGTACACTTTCACCTTTGTACTGTACTCTAACAAAACATACAGTTCATCAAATTTCTAGATAGAACAGGAGGGAATGCTAGCTTAATTATCTGCGTGGCCATCCTGTTAAGGAGGTTGTAAAGTCGATTGTAAACTTTTGAGGCGTAGTGTAATGTCATTTCACGCCATAGATGCAAAATGAAGGCAGGGGGGTCAACCCATTTGTCATCTTATAACTCCTCTGATTATTTTTCAGTGACGTAATTGAATTTGTTGGATGGAGAACGATACAAGACATACCATACATGCATTATAGGGTCATTTTGGTAGAACAATCTCATCTTGTGGAACTGCTTTCAGATACTCTTTTCTTTGGTTAGCCCCCCTTTTTTTATCTTGGGTGGCAAAGGGGGTATAGTTGTGCTCCAAATTCCCATGAGAATGGGATGGCAATGCTTCCCCCGGTCTCAAAAACAAGTCGCTTGAGAATGCGTCCAGTCAGCATAAGTTAAGTTTGGCTATAAAATAAATTAAAGTATATGTTTTGGGTGTTTCCATCTATAAAAATAACTTGAACTATAGGTTTTGGGTATATGAAAATGATATATTTAAGTTTGTCATAACAAGAGCTTTAATAGTAGACTGTCCGCATAAGAGAGATCATGAACAATCTGCCACTGGTTTTGAGTGCTCCAAAAGGAATGCAAAATGCAATTTCTGATCAAAGGTACTAGTACGAAATGGAACACGCGTCATGTCAGCCTATGAAATCAACAATTATTAATTGTTCCCCATATCGAACTATAAAGAAAGGAATCCGATGCAAACATTCACTTTGCTTAACAAGAGTTACTGACAAAAACAGAACAATCACCTCTGTAAACTATAAAACTATACAGTACAATACTGTCACCTAGACTCCTGGTACAAATTACAAAGTATAAACAACAACTCTGGATTGAGCAGTGGACACAACGAATCTACGCACACGATATCGAGGAGGAAGACGAGGACGCGATGCACAACGCCGGCGCGGCCGCCTCGTCGGCGCCACGGCCTCGCAGCAGCAGCGCGATGGCCTCGTACCCCATCGTCACGGCCATCTGGAGCGGCGTCGCGCCCCGCCTGGTGGCGGCGTGCACTTCGGCGCCCATGTCGAGCAGCAGCTCGACGGCCTCGGCGCTGCCGCCTTCGACGGCGAGGTGCAGCGGGCGGTGCCCTTCCACGTCCTCGCACTCGATGTCCATGCAGCCTGACCCGGCGAGCAGCGCGATCACGTCGCAGTGCCCTTTGATGGCAGCAAGGTGGAGCGCCGTCAGGCCGTACTGGTCACGTCCCCGGACGCCGGCGCGCTTGCTGAGGAGGGACTCGAGGCTCTGGAGGTCGCCTCGCCTCGCCGCCGTCATGACCAGTTCCCACCGTTCCAGGACGTCCACCACTTCTTGCTACACCCACCGAACAACATCGTAACTACACCAGTATAACTTAATTTGTAATAAAAACGCGCTGCTTAGAGTACACTTCTTGCAAAACAATACTGATAATGCTGCTCTTGAAAAGTAACAGAAGTACTGTTCAACCATGTCATTTCGCAGACAGAAAGTCCCATGCTGGCCATTTATGCATTTCTGGTGGACAATAATGGAATTGCACTACTGTAGCGTCGTCCTACTCCTATCATGATTCACGAGCGCATCGACAGGTCACATAAGCCAAGCTACCTACGTACATCCTCCAGCTGGTCCATGATCCTCCCCGTCGGTTCTGTAACTTTTGTACGACCAGTGATGCTTTACAAGTCTACAACTAAATCAATGTTTTCCTAATTTGACACAAACGTTTTTACGACCTGCTAGTGCATTTAGGACCACACAGATTATGGTTCACATTCACACATGGTTGCACGGTTAGTTACCAGGAGGAATCTTTGTCGAGTTGCAATTAAAAAGCAGCATCCGAATTCCCTGAGCTTAGGTACACGACAGTAAGAAGGACAGACAGGTAGATTCTAGTAGGAGTAAACTTACATAGCCCTTCTCGCGCGCGACGTCCAGTGGAGTCCTCCCGCGCGCGTCGGTCGCCGCGGCGTCGGCGCCCATGTCCACCAGCGCCGCCGCCGCCTCCGCCTCCCCGGCCGCGGCGGCAACGTGGAGGGCGGTCCTCCCCTCACGGTCGCGCGCTCCCATCGAGTCCGGCCCCAGGCGCCTCACCTCCCCGGTGTCCCCCCTCGCGGCCACCGCGTGCAGTGGCGCCCACTGCTCGGCGCCGTCGGGCACCGCCGCCTCGGGCTCCAGGAGCGGCAGGAGGTGCGGCTGCCGGCGCAGGATGAGGCGCACGGCCGCGGCGTCCCCGGCTTCCGCCGCGAGGCGGAGCAGGTACGGCCCGCCGAAGAACACGCGGAGGCGGATGGCGGTGGTGCCGCCGGTAGCGGCGCTGGAGGAGGCGGAGGAGTCGAGGTGCGCGGCGGAGAGGGAGGAGAGCACGAGGAAGCGGTCGCCTCGGGAGCGCGGGAAGGACGCGGGAGCGTGCTGCTGCGGGCGGAGCACGACGCGGAGGGAGGCCGACGAGAGCGGCTGCACGGCGCCGCGCGGGGGGCTGACGAGGAACTTGAGAGGGGAGGAGGTCTGGACCTTGAAGGCGACGGGGAGGGACGGGTGCAGCGAGCGGAGGCGGAGGTCAGCGCGGCACTTGGCGTTGGGCTTGAAGTCGATGACGACCTCGTCCTCCGCCACCTCCAGGAGCTGCTCGACCGCCGGCTTGTCCGCGGCTGCTGCGGTATTGGCGGCCGGGACGACGGCGGTGCTCGGCGGCGGCGAGGGAGAGGCTGGCTTCGCGGTGGCCATTTCTTGGAAGGCAGAGAGACTGGTAGTAGCAGGGGGTGGAATCGGCAGGGGAAGGCATGGAATGGTGGCTGGCTTCCTAGGACGCCGCTTTTGATGTCACGCTGGATGGGCATGATGGGAATGTTGATCGTTTGTGCATACGGTGTCTTGTGTGGAGTAGTTTGGCTTTTTGATGGTTTGGCCTCTACATTTCTACAACTTGTCCGCCACTTGATGAGTAATGTACAAGTGAACAGCACACGCTGCCAAATTAACACAGCCGGGGTGTATTGCCGAGTATGTAACGTTATACAAGCAGTATTACAACCAAGTGGCCGATCGAACATACTCACTGACTATATACAAACAAAAGGGTGGGTTTTTTAAAATTTTAAAATAAATGGTAGGGAGTATTTAGCTTTGGTTAGGAATTTTACGGAGTATTTAGGCTAGCATGTTCATACACTTCTCAACAAAAGGGTGAAATTGAAACCACTCGTCATGAGGTAGTACATACTCATGCTCATACGTCCACACACTTCTTAACAAAATGTAGAGTTGAATAAGACGATAGGAAGGGAGAGCAACATGGGTTTATCCAAAATGTTTATACGGTAATAGAGTAAATACCTCACCAATATCCTACTTCCTTCATCCCAAATGATAAGTTGTAAAGTTGCATAGATAAAAATCAAGTTGCTTTTACGGAAGGAATACTTCCAACGTTACAAAAATATTGATAACACCAAAGAATTCATCTCACATTGGTACAATAATCTTGATATAAGAAAAAAAAACGACCATTTCTGGAAACCTCTTTGTCATAAGTTTCTAGTAGTTTGAAAGTCAGTTTCGGGGAAAAGTGGTTCAAACAATTCTTTTATTTGATTGAATAGGTTTCCTCTCCTTGTTGGAAAGGTATATATGTCCCTACTATTTGAGGATAAATTTTTTAATTCGGTTGAACTAATTAGAACAAATATATGCAGGTGAAAATGCAAAGATTTTTCTGAACATTAAGAGATAATAGATAAAAAATGCCCATGCATTGCAACGGGTGAAAGCTATTCTAATAATATTATTATTGTTATATAGTTTAGTTAAGGTAAAATTCACTGTGGAAATCAGCTTGGATATATATATAGAAAATCATTAGCTATAATTAGGAGTCCGATCATCTCAAGTTAGCAAGCGAGTTTTTTAAGAGATTTCTTATATGACTCCTTCTGTGTTTCTAAAAACGAACGAACTTAAAACCCGTCTCAAATACAGATATGTATTTATTAAAGTGAACGAACTTAAAAACCGACTCATACACGATGGCATACCAAAGTATCGGTAAAAACATCTTTAATTTTTATAATAGTAGAGATTAATAAAAGGTACATAATAAGCTAACACGATGAGTTTTATCTTATCTTTTTCTGAACGGTTTTCTTTAATTATTAAGAGGATAAGATATTATCCTCTTAACAATTGAAGAAAAAACATTGAGGACAAAATATAAAGGAATTCCTCGTTTTGCTCTTACTTAATTATGAGATTAATTTTGGAACTCACTCCATGGAGAGGTATAGTAATATAATATATGTACCTATAGTTAATTCACCAACAGATTTTAGTGCTAGGTAGCATTACAAACATTTTAAATTTCTTTATTATAGAAGTTACAGTTGGAGCGCGCAATCTAGCTCATCAACCATGGGCCATCTCTACCACATGCTAATTGATGGATGTGGACTGCCCTCAACTTTTAATACTGATGTGGACTAAACTCACCAGTTACGAACTTACAGTAAAGTAGGAGATGTGCATGCACCAAATGATACTTATTTTACCAAAATTTACCAATAACAAAATTGAAAATTTTGACATAGTAGCAGTAGATAATCAGACCAACCTAACTTAACTGGGACCACTCAGGGATTCATAGCGTTCAGACCTATACCGTTTTGCGCAGCGAAAACGGTGAATTCATCCTGGAAGTGGATCGAGTTCAATTGCCCCCCAACCCAGACCGTAGATGGCCACACCATCGCCGGCAGGCCGTACCGACCCCGGCGGATCCGACTGCCACTCGATCGCATTTATCTGCTGGGACCTGCAAAGAATGATGGAGCCAGGCTACGATCCATCCAGCACGCACGTCCCATCAGAACGGGTGGCAATCGGCAAATCACGCCGAGCAAGCGAGCGCGCTACAGTTCCCTCGTGAAGGACTTCAGACGAGCACAGCCTCGCACGCGCGCGACGAGAATACGGCCCCGGTCGCTTGGTGAAGGTGAGAACCCCCTCAATTTCGTTGGATTCTAGCCTGCATGTGCCCGGCTGCCCTCTCCTCTTCCCCCCATTTCCCTTGCCGTTTCTCGCGCACGAATCTGAACAATACCGGGGCTTGGCCGCGTGCCCCGCGGCTCGGCGGCACGCGGCCGCAAGGAGACCCAGTGGAGTAGTAGAATACTCGGCTTCAGGGGATGCTGCCGCTACCCAACAATTCCGTCGCCCTGGACTTATCACGCGCCGTAGGTCATGTGTAAGTAGTAGTACAATCCTGGTAGGTTTAAAGTTTAAACCCAGACGTTGAGTTCCAGGTCGATCCACCGGGCATGCTCGGATGGATGGATGGCCGGAATAATTCACATAACCTCACGTGATGCGAGGGAAAGGGGAATATTTAGAAATGCTAAGCCTGTTGTACACGGGAAAATCCATAGATTCTAAAAGGGAAAATTTCAAGAACCAGTTACTATATCAGCCTAAAGACCAGTTGCCTTAGCGAATTATTGTCTATAAACTAGTTGAATCACGCAACTCCAATAGGACCGATCGCATGATACGTGCTGTATCCAGGACATCAATTAAACATGTAACTTATTGTTAAGTTTTGAATTACTGCTATCAAAGCGTTTGTAGTCCAACGGTTAGGATAATTGCCTTCCAAGCAATAGACCCGGGTTCGACTCCCGGCAAACGCATGTTTTTTAATTTTTTGCTTATAAATTTCTTGGGCTCGCGTGGATAGAGACTCTCTTTCACCTTCCTGTTGGGCCCATTAGGCGGTCTCCAATGGGCCTAAATTACATGGACACTTCCTTGCCTTCTCATCGAGTTTAATTAGAATCCTTATACCACAATACTAGACATCTTCACCCTTACCTAGTTATAATGTGGCATCCTAGATAGTAATAAAATAAAAAACATGTGGGGCCCCACTCTCACCTCTCTTCCTAAGTAGCTCGCTAGTGGGGAGAGGGGCGTGGCTGATGAGCCCATCCACAGGAGGTGACAACGGTGGTGGGACGCTCACCTCCCTTGCACGCAGCCGGACGGCGGGTGGCGCTACTTCGTCGAGGACTCAAGGTGAACAGTAACATCTGCAGCCACGAACTCGTTTCTATTGTTGTGCCACCTCGTACGCATGTGCTATGGAGAGACGCCAGGCGCCGCCATTGCCGCCTTCCTTCTCGTGAGCGCAGGGCCGAGCTCAACCTTGTGCGAGGCTCACACGGCTCACACAACCACAATAGCAGTTGCCGCCGACGCTTCCTTTCTCACGGGTGAACTCACGCTACACCGCTTTCTTCACAACTAGCTCTCTGCTCAATATATCTTGAGCTCGAGCTCCTTCATCTTCTACCGCAGCGTAGATCCGGAACAATCTCGTAGCCGCCGAGAGTAGGAGGCCACCTGCCACCAGTTGCATCCCTCTTTATGCTTGCGCGCGAAATTCGCCGTAGCCGGCCATCTGTGATCAAACCCCGCATCCTGGGCACCGCTCCCTAACGAATGCAGGGCTGGCTACTTTGGGGATGGATGACTCAACGTGGACGGTGACCTCCTGCCACCGCCCTCAGACGACGGTGGTACCGGGGTGGCAAGACCACCCAAGGCGGATGGCGGCGACGCGGAGGGGACTACGAGGGTAGACACTAACAAGGGAGGGGATGCTAAGGGCATGGTTTGCTAGCATGCTGGAGGAGGGCGGTGGCTTCGATGGTGCGGATGGGGATGACACGGATTGGGTGGTCGGTGGCAGCTTGTCTGCATGTAGGAGTAGATGGGAAGAGGTGAGAAGTATTAGAAGGAGAGGTGGCCATTTACATGTGGGCTCCACATGTTCTTTAATCTTTTTTTCTGACTAGGATGCCACATTAGCGAAAAACAAACACCCATATTATTATGGGACCTGATTTGGACCGTTTTGCTAAGATAATGGGTGGAGATTTCTAGTATTGCGGTTTATGGATGTTAATTAGACTTGAGTACTCGACGTAAAGATGAGGGGCAGCAAGTGGACTTATTCCAATGGCATAAATACAGCTTAACCTGGCTTTCACACCTCTGAAAAGGGCTAGTTTTGAACTGGCGCTTGGCCCAATAGCAGGTGATCAAGCGATCCCTATCTAGGAATTGCTATTTAGCACAACTACGTTCTCAATATGCATTTTTTACTTTTGTTTGCAAAACTTTTAGTAGTGCCTGCAAACTTCCATTTGTAAGTCTTTCACTAGAAACTTTGTTGTGGGCCTTATGGACCAAAAGGCTAAAACATGTGTGCAACTGTGCTAATTAGCCTTCGTGCCTCTCTTACTAAAATTGCTCAATATTATTTGAACATAAATAAATATATATTTGTGTTTTTTTTCACGCTGATAAAAATATAGTTGTGTTAAGAGGTACATCTCCTAAGGGAGACCGGCTCTAGAGAAAAAAATATGTGAAGACTGGCTCGAAAGGAAGCCTGTGCTTATCTACTTCCAATACATGGTATATGTTTTTAGTCAGTGAGATCCAGGGCGTGATGAAGGAGGCCAGGGATATGAAGCTGAAGAAGGCGAACAGGGACTGCAATCGTATTAGCCATATTTTAGCTAATAAAGCCCGGTGTAAGTCCCCTACGAACTTTTGGCCGGACGGAAGTTGTAATTTTATTTCCCACCTTGTGTGCTATGGCTAAGTAATAAAGTTCATGTTTTTCCCCGAAAAAAAAGAATAAACTAAACAAACCTATAGCCTTATTTCTATCTATCTATGGTAAATCTATGGTAAGAAAATCTAGTGGAGTTTCCAATAATTCTAACACCAATGGTGAAGGCTCGAGCCCCCGTCATCTCATGGTTGATGCGCCCCTGCACAACATGTGTCCATCCATAGGATCCACCGGCTTTAAAGGTGGACGACGGAAGCGACGAAGGTGTATTTTTTCCATATCCTACGGTCATAAGATCCCATCACCCTCATGTACCGAGAAAAAGCAAAGCCTAGTCAGCATTTCGCTTTGTAGCGATACTCCTACACTCGCAAATAGCAAACTACAGTACTAAACGGTGCGTTTCGCTTTACACTCATGAAGATATAAATTTTATCTCGGTTTCCGTTAGCACGCTTTTCAAACTACTAAACGGTACTCCCTCCATTCCAAAATATAGGGCATAACCACCCTTGACCCAAAGACCAAGAAACAATTATTATCACCTATTTGTCAATCCAACTAATACAATACATGCACCCAATAGAATTAAGCATCTTGTGAGTGTATGATTTAAATAATAATAATTTAGGAGAGAAGAGATGCTAATTAATTGCCATACATGTATGCACGCCTTATATTATGAAACAACTTTAAAAAGTAGTTGTGCCCTATATTTTGGAATGGAGGGAGTATATTCCATGCGAAAACTTTTTATATATAAGTTACTTTAAAATACCAAATATGTTCATTTATCAGATTTATAATAATTGAAACTTAATTAATCATGTGCTAATAGCTTTCTCGTTTTACGTACATCAACTTAATATTTATCTTCATGAGTTTCAAACATCACCATAATGTAATCAAGGGAATGATTATGGAAGGTTATCCAAAGTTTGAGAAAAAAAAAACATCATTGGACGAGAACACTCCTTTATCCTTTCTTGGAGTAGTTTTTTGATATCTCATTAGCATTCTAAGATTTCGGGATCGTTCAAGGTAACCGTGGTTAGCCAGGTCCGTGACAGTTGCTAAGGGTAACCGTGGACGTCACATGGCATCGCCAGGTTTAGTAGGTCTGCAGAATCAGAGATAGATCGCGAGTCAACCTCTCCACTTCTCCAACTCTCGCCGCATGGTTCCGGTACCAAAATAAAACTTCAGCCCATCTGATGGTGACGGGGCCGTGCCACATGCATGCTAGGGGTCGAAGCAGAGGCATTTGGCTGTGTTTAGTTTCTTCTAAAGTTAGAAGTTTAGGTTAAAATTGATACGATGTGACTGAATGTGTGTGTATGACAGGTTGATGTGATGGAAAAAGTTGAAAGTTTGGATCCAAAATTTAGATGTAAACACAGCCTTTGAAATGCGGCATTTCCACTGTCCTTGAAGCTTTCGCAGCCTTTCGCTCTCTTCCCCGGCACCCACCACCCGTCACGTGAACGGAGCACGCCGCGGGCATATTCTCGACCCCTCGATGCGTTGGTGAATTGGTGGTGTTGCTGATGGCGCTAGGTTATCTAATTCTCTGAGTACCGAGTGATACCGCTGGACTGCTGGCAGGTACAGTACAATATATTTTCCGAACATCAGTCGGTGGTCAATGCAGCTTACTCCTAAACCGAGCTGTCAGCACTACTTTCCACCTGCTAATTAAAACTTGTATCCCGAGACAGAGCAGTCAAGATTCTTGTATGATTATTTTAGGAAGCAAGAATGTAAAACCTGTCTCCAAGTTGTATTTACTCTGTAACTAAAGGAGTACTAGTACTACTTTTGTATGTGCAACACTAGAAATACAGTAACAACTTTAGAGCGAAGCTTTGCTGAGAAAGAGGGCAATACAGTTAGGCCATTCACAGTGCACCCTGCTGGTATTCAGCCCGAGCGGTCCACATAGGCGAGCCGCCAAAAATCGCCGCCACGTCCTAGCGTTGGCCCACAAATCGCGAGCGCGTGTGACCAAACTTGGTCACCCGTTCTTCGGCGCTATCGAGGCGGGGCAGCGTGGAGAAACAAGGGCATGGCGCATTGCTGAGGCGTGGCTTTGCCGCGCGGTTCCTCCCGGCGCGCTTCATCCCCAAATCGCCCTCCCTGCGCGCGCGTTTCTTCTCCTCCCGCGCTCGCCTGAATCAAGCACAAGACATGAACAGCTGCATTAGTCATTGACTGATTGACATACTGCACTGATCGACTGTTCATCTATTGGAAAATCAACATCCAACTACTGAAATTTCATAATCACAAAGACCAAAAAAAACTAAACCAATTCAAAGCATGAACCCAGATGAGAACCTGGAACAGGTTAGCACACACTGAACTGATTGATGGCTTCAACACCTGAAGCGTATACATGAACACAAGACCAATCTAGAATCGATGCTTTAGTACTAATCAATAAAAAAGACATCGAGAACAAACAACAAATCACGCTGGAAAGAACTTGCCTTCCTCAACAGAAAACCGATCTAAAAAATTCTATCTGAAAGAGCAGTCCAAGAAGAAAGAAAAAACAGGAGATCAGTCTCTGCAACAAAGCAACCCAAGAAACTAACCTCCCAGAGATCGCGGCTCGTCGCGCCGACGACGGGGAGGGAGGGGCGCCGGCGACGTTGATGGGGATGGGAAGGAGGGGCGCCAGCGACAGGGATAGGGATGGGAGAGAGGGCGCCGACGATGGGGAGGGAGGGGCGCCGGCGATGGGGATGGGGATGGGACGCGGTGAGGGGGAGAAGAAGTGGCAGCTCCAGCCTTATCTGATTGGGGAGAAATCTATACGTATTATCTGACTTTTGGGGTGCAAAGTGTAAAATTTGGATTTCTTTGTTAATAGAAAGATAGCAAGGGACTGAAATAGAAAATACGAGGGGCTGAAACGAAAAAACCAAAGCTACGCATGAAGACCCTTGCACTGTGGGAGAGAAATTTTTTTAGGGCGTGGTTTCAGCGCACATGGCAGCTGTGGCTCCTCAAAACTGTTGGGCGCATTGTAAATGCCGTTATGGTGGCATCCCCTGCAACGCACGAGCCTGATGTTGGTTATCACTCACTCACCTGTCAATATGCCATTGCTTTGAAGCACGGTTTTCCAATACTGGCACTCCGAGAGGCAGGTTCGGTAGTTGCCAGGTGACAGTCGTTGCCTGAGACAGTTTGGGGGTGCAGAGGAGGAGTACTAGCAGAAAGAAGGCATCCATTTTGTTGTGAAAGATCTTTACATTTCCTTGTTGCTTCACCGACCGTGCTACAGGAGGGAAAAGCCGGCATGCAATAATTCGACGTCGCAAACCAAACTGCAATGCTTGCAGATAAAGCCAATCGTATCAGTTACCGTCATACTCCTACTGTTCTTGAGTACCCTGCCTGGACAAGCATACTATCATGGTACTCGTGCATGGTACATGGGCCTTTCATTAGCTTTACACAACGGGATTATATAGTCTGTTATCTTCTTATGATACTACTAATGCATTATTTTTAGAAACTCTCATAGTGTCATCTCCTGAACAATATTAATTTCTTCATAGTTTTGATCTTTGATCCACTGGGCAGGAGTGTACTGACATGCAGATAAGTGGCCCACTGGGCAGTGTTGTGGGGTTGGGTTCAATAATGAAGGATAGGAGGAGGTGAGAAAAGCTAAGCTCATAGTATAGTCACATGTTTGTCATTAAGTAACAGAAGGGGCACAGGAAGAAACATAAACAAGAGAAAAAAGACACCCACACGTTGGGCCATCCATTTTCCACAAATCAGCACCGGCCACCGCGTCCTCTTGCATTAAGGCTAAATAAACCATCCATTGACTGCTAGGAAAAACCCTCCATTTCAACCAAATTGAACATTTTCCATAATGTTACTGTGCGGAGATATGATCACCGGTCTTTACCATTACATAGTTTTTGTCCATTATATAAACATGGCAGTTCTTTGTGCTGGTCAGAAAACGCCATGCAGTTTTTCCATCCCCTTCTCACTGTAACTAAGTTAATCAAAGAGTACATCGACATCACTAGGGCCATTTTCGGTGAAATGACTCTATGGGAGAAAACGACGTCTTGCAACCTTCACGTGCCATGACACCAACAACTCAAAATCCTGGCTCCGCCCGTGTTTGTGTGTCTTTCTCAATTGCAAACTATCGTATATAGGGGAACATGATAGATTCATGTTGCTGAGTTCTTCTTCTTCTTCTTCTTCTTCTTCTTCTTCTTCTTCTTCTTCCGTAACTGTGTGAATTCCTACTTAGTATATAAGTGGGTTGTTTACATTATTTAATGAAACATTATGTTACCTAAAAACATAAATAACATATGACTATCTTTCTTGAGAAAATCCTACTAGTCTAGTACTGATAATCGAAAAAAGACATTTTTTAGAAAGTTCTCTCTCCATCTCAAAATAAACCAATCTAAGATGTAATGGGACATCACCCAATATGATAAATCTGGATAGAGACATGTCTAAATTCGTTATACTAGGTGACATCTCATCTAATATTTGTTTATTTTGGAACGAAGGGGTACTTCGGTACATAAGAAAACACACCCTACAAACTTTGAGGGGCGTTTTTCTGAAGGATCAAACTTTTAAGGGCTAGAAAGGAAAAGAAGAGCGCTCCTCTTCGAGGCTTCAAACCCCAACCAAACCTAACAACTTCGAAAACTTGAACCCAAAACCAAAACGAAAGCGAGCCAAAAAAGCTGTAGTAGGCCTACCATAACACAAAAGCCCAAAACACACGCTTCCCCGCAACTCCAAAACCGGAAAACGAACAAATCCCCTCGCCTCCTCCCCCCTCCCATCTCCGCCCCCGTCTTCCCCTCGCCTCATCCATCTCCCCCATGTGGCTGCCCTGGGTGAAGACGCGCCCCTCCTCCCCTTCCTCCGCCGCCGCCTCCCCCTCGCCCTCCACCGCGCTCGCCGCCGCCGCCGCCTCTCCTCGCTTGTCCTTCTCCTCTCCCTCCCTCAAGGACCTCCAGGCTCTCCTCCTCTCCGACCACTCGCCCTCCCCGACGCCGCCGCAGCTGCCGCCCAACACCGCCCCCTGCTCCCCCTCCGTCCGCGTCTTCCACCGCGTCCGAGTCGCCGCCTCCGCCCTCCGCGCGCTCCGCACCCTCCAGGCGCCGCACGCCGCCGTGGCCGAGGCCGACCGCCGGGTGGTGCTCTACTTCACCTCCCTCCACGTCGTCCGCTCCACGTATGAGGACTGCCGCGCCGTGCGCGCCATCCTGCGCGGCCTCCGGGCCTCCGTCGACGAGCGGGACCTCGCCATGGACCCCCGCTACCTCCAGGAGCTCGGCGCGCTCCTCCCCCGCGCGCGCGGTGTCACCCTCCCTCAGGTCTTCGTCGGCGGCCGCCACCTCGGCGGCGCCGAGGAGGTCCGCCGCCTCCACGAGTCCGGCGAGCTCCGACGCGTCGTAGCCGGCGCCGGCGCAACCGCCTTCGCCGCCTGCAGCCGGTGCGGCGGCGAGCGCTACGTGCTCTGCGGCAGCTGCAACGGCAGCCACAAGCGGTACAGCCTCAAGGGCGGCGGCGGCTTCCGCACCTGCGCCGGCTGCAACGAGAATGGCCTCGTCCGGTGCCCGGACTGCTCCCCGCCGGCCGTCTGATCCAGATCCAAAGGTCACAATCTCATGACTACTAGATTTTAATGTTTTTTTAGCTCAAACTTGAGATATGAAATGAGCTGTGTGTGTAGCTGTTACTCCTACTACTTGTTATTATTGTAGTGGTGTTTTTGTGTGTGACAGTGCCCAATTGAAACTTCCAAGTTCTTAGCATTTGCTAACCAACGTTTCTAATGTTTGATTAGGATTTAGTAAAAGAGTTGTTGTTTCCTTACTTCTTGGCTATAGTACCAAGTACCGCTTTTTTACCCTCTCTTAGCTCAGCCTTGAATGGCAGATTGTCAGTCTGAATCGGTTTGTTCTATACTCTTATTTTAACTTTTGAGTAAATGATTGATAAATGCCACTAGATGACTAGAGTAGCAGTTAAGAAAGATATATAAATCTACTAGTAGATGCGTGAATTCTACTGCTGTTAATTCTCACTTCCTCTGCAATATTTGGCCTGATTTCAAAACTGTTCACCGCTCTGATCACTGAGCTCGAATGGCTGGTGCGATGTTGCTTGTTTCTTTACTGTTGAAGTTTCTAGAAAGCTGCTACTCCTGCTTGCCAGTCGCCATACACGCCAACGGTTGCTGGCGATATCTATGGTGGGCTGCTGCTACGCTGAAAAAGCAAGCGCCTTGCTCAGAAGTCAGAAAGCTTTTCTTTCAAGGCTGCTATTCATTCGGAAAATGGAAAGGGTGCGGCCCGGGTTTGAATGCAATCCGATCGGTGAAGTGTCCGTTGCATAGGACAGGTTTCAGAGGCTCAGCGTACTAACCTCCAAAGTATCATCGAACTGAAAACTTATGTGAAGGCTTAACGAGTCGCCAGCCAGCCAACCCTTTTTCCATAACCATGAGGTAGTAGTACCTTTTCAGGTTTAAGAGCTTCAAAACAGCCGGTACGAGCACCTCCAACAACCATTTCAAATCTAGCTCTCCAAATCCAAATATTAATAATGGCAGTGTTTAGTTCCCTTCAAACTTCTAAAAATTCAGTCACATCAAATGTTTGGACACATAAATAGAGCATTAAATGTGAACGAAAAAATAATTGCACAGTTTGCATGTAAATTGCAAGACGAATCTTTTGAGCCTAATTACGCCATGATTTGACAATGTGATGCTATAGTAAATATTTGCTAATGACGGATTAATTAGGCTTAATAAATTCGTCTCGCAGTGTATAGGCGGAATCTGTAATTTGTTTTGTTATTAGTCCACGTTTAATACTTCAAATGTGTGTCTATATACTTAAAAGAAATTTGGCACATGAACTAAACACGACCAATATCTCTTTGATCAGCTTGTAAAAAATTAAAGAGCCAAATTTACTTTTCAGTCATTCCAACATGACTGAGGATTTCACATGTCAATCTCTATACTTCTTCCTTTCTCCATATCTTTCCCCTCCTCACCCCCCTCGGGGGTCTAGGCAGAGGTGTTGACGACGATAGTGTGTGGAGGCGGTGGAGCCAGCGGGAGGAAGTTGGGACGACGTAGGCCAAGGTCGACCAACGGTGGGGATGCTACCTCCGGTGACAACCTACAACACGTAGATCTGGACGTCTATAGTGGAGTAAGGCAAGGAAGCTGGTCTCGAGACGACGATGGCGACAACATGCTTCTCATCGACGCCGAGGGGAGACGAAGGAAGGAAGAGTTGATTGGCCACCTCATTCTCCGCGCCAGTTGCCGGTTGGCCCTCCCACATTGCTAGCGCTAGGGGGCGGGCTCCGGCATGGCCGTTGCCTCATCTCAACCACCACACCACCCCGGATTTGCCCAATGGCTGCCATCGACGCTTCCTCTCCTCTGGCACAAGAGGGAAGAGGGGAGTAGCCATGCGAAGAGGCTGTTGGATCACAATTTTTTTTGCTAGACTTATCAAAATTTAACTTAGAGAACTGTTCGGAGAGACCGTTGAATATGTTCTAAGGTACAATTCAAAGTCTCAGATTGATCCTAAGTTCCTAATCTTCTCTTTCCTTTTCTTCCACTTCCATACATGCTCGGAAACCTTAAATACCAGCGAGCGTGTGACTCAAGATGCAGCGATACAAAAGTGCTGTTCTTCTCTTCTCTCTCACCGGCTCCCAAACCCCAATTTGTTGAAGCGACCAAGCGTCGAACATGATCAGGCAGCACATTGACCACCCATGTGGTGCTTTTACTTGCCACATTGCCATCTCGTGCCCTGTGCCCGCAATGCACACTTGCACAGTGCTAGCTGCTAGTTAGCGCAACCGTGCTCCGTGCAAAGCGCGCAACGCGTTGATGGCGGCGCACGGCATGGTACCGTGCATCAGTCACCACACCAGTCAGAGTCGCACAACTCACGCCAGTGGCCGGCCGCTCGGCGTGTTGCGCGTGGAAGTGGAACCTTGCGGCGGTTACGCTTGGCGTCAAGGGCTACCGGAGCTTGGAGCCGCGAGGGGCGCAAGTCCCCCACGGCACGTGGTGGTGGGACTCGGTGATCCCCTTCCCCCTCCGGCTTCCCAAGTCCCATCCATCCACCCAGTCGCGCACCGCGCACACGCAGCGGTAACGTGCCTCCGCGAGGGCCCCGCGCCTTGACAGCCTTGTTGATTGCGGCTCCGCTCCGTGCGTGCTCCATCATTGTGGATCAAGTGGCCGCTTCACAGCAAGTGTAGACTAGTTGTAGTACCCTGCTAGTATGTCCTAATCCTGCTGCCCTATATGATGCCTCTCTTTCCATGACTTTCACGATCCACTGTTTGTCGGCGATGAGGGTTAGAGTGACCACCTAGCCGTCACCAGCGGTGGCCGCTGCTATTGTCCTTCAGAGCTTGAGGTGAAGGTGTTTTAAATGCTGGCTCATTAGCGCTTGAACCTCATGAATGGGCCGGCAGCCTCTGCGTGTGGAAGCATTATTAAGTGTACCGTGCATATGTGCATGCAACACGTCGTCCTGCCACGTATGTACGTTCACGCACGCATGAATGGCTGCCTTTACGGTTTGCTAGCCTGTGGTACCAGAAAGGCAAGAACTTTGAATCGAGTAAATTTCTCTGTTCTAAAAAAAGAGTAGTAAATTTCTCAGGCTATCGTCAATAACTGAACAGGAAAAGGAGCACTGCAGAGCCGGCCATTTACTCTAGGCACCCTTTGTCCCTTTTCCTGCCCTTACGCTTGTAATTTTGCCACTGATCACCACCGGTAATGGTACAACTGGAACACTGTAGGAGTAACAAAGGACACATATAAGGACGCACGGATGCAGTAACTTGCCGGAAGGACGCCTAGGATTATTGGAAGTTTGGAGGCAGGCACTCGCAGATGGGCCACAGGTGGGAGCAGCCCCATTTGCAGCGGCCGTCGACGTTGCCGTGATCCTGGCATGTCTCCCTGCACTTGTGGGTGTGGGTGCATACGAGGTAGCGGACGTTGTCCACGTTCCAGCAGTCCTCACCCTGAACAGACCACACCTCGCCTGACATTTAAAAAAGAAACAGATTAAGCAGCAGCGCATTGAGGATGGAGGTGGCGCTGATGGGCAAGGGGTGATGCTCATTGCTCACTGGAAGCAACGATGAGCAGCACAAGTGCACAGCGGAGCACAAGGCAGTCTTTCTCCAAGCGAAATGCAGATGAATTGGTGACCAACTCGAAGGGTAATGCAGCAAGCCAGCAACATTGTAGTGTGTTCATGTATAGAAGTTGTGACTCGTAGGCCGAGAGAAAACTGAAGGCTCAGATCACTGGAGGTCAAGCGGGTTATCCGAGACAATTATAGGAACAAGAAAACTGAATATTGATGATATAGAGATCAGTTCTAGATTTATACTAATAGTTGGTATTACCAATGATTTGGCTTTAATCCAAATATACACTATCAATATTCAAATTACCAAATTGATATGACATATTTTGACATCAAACCAGAATGACCCATAAATTTCACAACTTTTATATGGCTCTACCCAATAAGCAAGGGATACAGTCCAAGCAAATCGGGTGTATTCGGATGCCACTTTTCCCAACCTCTCTCATTCGTTTTCCACGTACACGCTTTTTAAATTGTTTAACGGTGTGGTATGGTTTCAAATTTGAGAGAATGACATATGGGTTCCTAGGCTAAGAAATTGTAGTACGACATAGTTGCGGCATTGAAATAAACACATATCTAAGAAAGTGTAGCTTGGTAATGTGAGGCAACTAACCAAACACCTCCTTGCTGTCTCACCACAATGCCACTTTACATTGGCTATGTAAGAAGAAGAAGAAGAACCAAGTTATACATAGAAACACAATTCCCTCACTAGATCGCCACAGTAACACAAAACATCCATTACAATCCTAAAAAGATCATATCAATAGTTGCAAAGATAAATACCATAATTACTTTATAGGCATAACACCATGATTAACATGTTTATAGGCACATCTGATTTATTCTAGCTGTCAGGAGATGAGAGCAGTCCTACATAAATGCATAGATATACATGCTCCACGCGCAGTTGTTCTTGCAACTACCGATCAATCTGAATGATCTGACCTTAGTTTCTGCTAGTCCTGAGCTGCGTCAGCTTGGTGGCCATGGCCGGCATCGTCGACGAGGGGTCCTGCTTGCCGCACTTCCTCTCCCTGCTGCCAACTCTCGGGCTGCCACTGCCACTGCCGCTGTCCGTTCCTAACCCGATGGACAGCTTGCTCAGAGCCTTCCGTGCGTCGGTGCAGTACTTCTTGCTCGCGTCGAGCAGCGACGACACGCCCCATCCACGGCTTGCGGCCTGCCATTCCTCGCGGCTCCTCTTCTCGCCACGCGGCCGCGGCAAGTCTCGGCCGCCGCTGCCGGTCTTGTTCTCCTCCTGCATTGCGTCGCGTAGGGTGACGAACCTGCGGCTCTGTGAGGACGAAGGGTTGCTGGCGCCGGCGAGAGGGGACGGCGCGTACTGCGCCGGCGGGCTCCTGAACCCGCAAACGGCGGGCTTGGCGCTCCAGGGGAAGAACACCATGAGCCCGCAGGCTCTCGGTGACATCTGCTCGTCGCGGCCGTTGATGTTGATGCGCGGCAAAAGCTGCACCTGGACGGGGTGGTCGTTGCTTTGCCTGGCCGTCGGCTGCTGCCCGTCGTGATCGCGGCGCGTGGTGCGTCGCCGCCAGTGTTTCGGGCCTCTGCCCGAGGACGAGGACGGCGTGGCGAGGGAGGCTTCCGCTGGTGCACGGCGGGAGGACCGGTCATTGACGAAGCTCGTGGCGCGGCCGAGGAAGATGTCCTCGAAGCGCTTGGACGTGATCCGGTCGAACGAGCCGACCCGCTGATCGGGCGTGGAGACCCTGTCCAGGGCGTCGGAGAACGACGCATCGTCGTCGTCGCTGCTCGCGGCGGTCGAGTTGCCGTAGCCGCACCAGTTGCTGCCGGGGCACTGCTTCCAGCGCCCAGGCGGCGGCTTCGGCGGCGGCATGATCTCCTGCGCCATGTGCATGCACGCGCTGCTCCTCTTGGGCACCCCAGGGGAGCTCTCCCAGGAAAACGGCACCTGCGTGCGCAGCGGGGAGGCTTCGCGGCGGCACCGCACGCTGGCCGCGTCCGCCGAAGCGCACGACCGGCGCGGCGTGGGGAGCGGCGAGTCGAGCAGCTGCGGGAGCTTCTCGCCGTCGGCGCCATTGCACCGCAGCCCCTCCTTGTCCCGCCTGGTGACGATTTCCATGGGCATTGCGCCGACTGACTGTGTCGGCAGCATGCATCGTCTCGGGCGTTCAACGTGTGGAGGGGACGACGTATAAGAGTACACGCGAAGACTGTAGGTAGAGGTGCTTTTCCCGCGAAAAGTGGCAGTAGCGGCGGTTGGACAGTAACCTTCGTGTATGGTTGTGTGTTCATCTCACGTACTGTTCTTTTGCCTCTCGCTAGCTCGTTCCCGTGATCAAGGTGCATGCTCGATGGCCTTAATGGTGGAGGTTGCCGAAAGGTAGCAGAGGAAATCAGGCTAAAACTTGCACACATTACATAGGCTAAAAGCTTGTGATGTGAAACGTACGCGTGTCTGCATTGGCCTTGCCATGTGTATAGGGTGGTTGGTGGCCGCCTTGGGGATTCGTCCGCGGACTCGGGATGCACTGTTCAAGTGTCCAGGGCATGTTTGTTCGGCGATGGAATCCCGGTGATCGCCGTGGCTTGAGGGGAAGGTGAGAGAGACGCCACAACGGGTTTAGCTCTGTTCCGCTATTCGGCCCATTAACATTTGCTTATGGGCCACCTATCTTGTGGCGTGGGCCAGCAGGTTAGTTTGGTGCACGACACGACTCCACGCACCGTTCCACCTAGCAACTGACGTCGTAGTCAGTAGATGGGTCGGGGACTCTCGGAGAGCGGTTCGAGGGGGCCGTCGTTTGCGAGGCCGCAAGTCGCCGTCGGCGGCCGTCGCCATCGCCGCAACATAAAAAAAGCGAGCAAACCCGTTGCTGCGCGCTCTGCGCTTCTGCCCTTTTACGACCGAAGAGGTAGCCAACCCACGCATCCCCCCCCTGACCTGCCCCCTCCACAGCCGCCGCCGCCGCCGCCGCTACGGCTCACGAGAGTACCGAACGATCTGCTGCCACCCCCAACCCAAGTGACCAACCGAAGGCGGAGGGTAGCAACTTCGGTCTGCTCATCCCAAGGTACTAGACTGTTTAGTCGATTGGAGGATCTCCCATGCCCGTATTTGTGTCGATTGCTGGTGGTTTGGGACGAGATCTTTGCATTGGGCGGATCTGTTTTGTGTATCGTTGTTGCTTGTCCGCGCAGGTGGTGGGTTCCTACTTTCGTGTTGCTTCCTTGGTCCTGATCTGTTCGCGTTGGTGCGGTTTGGGTTGCAGCGTAGTTCTTAGTTCTAGCGTGAAGCTTTGCGGATTGGTGTTGTCTGTAGATTTGTGAGATTTACAAAGGATTGGCGCCGGCTGTGCTGGATCAGTAGATTGTGACCGAGCAGAATTGAGCGGGCTGCAACGGCGTACTAGAGAAAAGAGGAACCGGGACAACTAAAGATTCTGGTATACTGGTATTCTCTGGATGCTGATGGATTGGAGGAAGACGATCGTAGTATTTTTTTTTTTTTTGATGTAGAAAGGCATCAACACCTTAGTTACTTTAGGATGGATATAGATACCTTGTGGGGAAACGGTATGGAAGATACTTTAGCACCCCCAATTTTCTCATCTTGCTCATAAGTTTTGTAACTTGGATGTCAGGTGATGATAATGCTAGAATTTAGCTTCAGATTATATCATCTCATGCTTCTCGTGGGCTCATTTCTTCTGAACCTTTTGTTTGTTATGACCAATATTTAAATGATAATCATCAGCTTGTAGATAATTTTCATACTAAAAGTTTTTAGAAAATTTCTAAGAAATTCACAAGCTAGTAATTTATTGAAGTTCTGAAGGATCCAGCTTTTGTGTCATGTCATCAGTTGTTTCACTGCTATTTGCAAGAAGACATTTCATCATGTAGTCCAAAAGATAAAGAATCGCTTTAATATGTATTACCATTACTTGTCAGTGTTTTAGATGCACTTCCCTAATGATATACAAATGATTCATGTCACGACCTGTCTATTTTCTATTCGGCATCTCCTCAATATAAATCTAATGGAACTGTTCCTGCAGTTAGGCATGGCATCAACTGTTGCCATCAATTTGATTGGTGCTCAGGCTGGCATTATCTCAAAGTTAAGGAATTGCGACATCACAAGCTACAGTGGCTTAAAGGCAAGATCATCTATTAGTTTTGAGTCAAGGTCATCATTCCTGGGTCAGAATGCATCTCTTCGATCATCTATCTCTCCAAGGATTGTACCAAAGGCAAACTCTGGATCTCACATTTCTCCTGAGGCATCTTACAAAGTGGCAGTTCTCGGTGCTGCTGGTGGCATTGGTCAACCGTTGGGCTTGTTAATTAAGATGTCTCCTCTGGTCTCTGCACTACATCTGTATGATATTGCAAATGTCAAAGGAGTTGCTGCTGATCTGAGCCACTGCAACACACCTTCTCAGGTTCTGGACTTTACTGGGCCCTCGGAATTAGCCAACTGCTTGAAAGGTGTGGATGTTGTTGTCATCCCTGCTGGAGTCCCAAGGAAGCCAGGAATGACTCGTGATGATCTTTTTAACATCAATGCGAGCATTGTCAAGACACTTGTTGAGGCTGTTGCAGACAATTGTCCAGAAGCCTTTATCCATATCATTAGCAACCCAGTAAACTCAACAGTGCCCATTGCTGCTGAGGTTCTGAAACAGAAGGGTGTCTATAACCCCAAGAAGCTTTTCGGAGTTACCACCCTAGATGTTGTCAGAGCTAACACATTTATAGCTCAGAAGAAGAACCTGAAGCTCATTGATGTTGATGTCCCAGTTGTTGGTGGTCATGCTGGGATTACTATCCTACCATTGCTGTCAAAAACCAGACCATCTGTCACCTTCACAAATGAGGAAACTGAAGAGCTGACAAGGAGGATACAGAATGCTGGGACAGAGGTGGTGGAGGCGAAAGCTGGTGCTGGATCTGCTACCCTGTCGATGGCCTATGCAGCTGCCAGATTTGTTGAGTCATCCCTCCGTGCATTGGCTGGTGATCCAGATGTTTACGAGTGCACATTTGTTCAATCTGAATTAACTGAGCTGCTGTTCTTTGCATCTAGGGTTAAGCTTGGTAAGAATGGTGTTGAGTCCATCATTTCTTCCGACCTTGAGGGAGTGACTGAATATGAGGCCAAGGCCCTTGAGTCATTGAAGCCTGAGTTGAAGGCCAGCATTGAGAAGGGCATCGAGTTCGTCCACAAACAGCAGGCTGCCGCTACTTCTTGAAGTGTGGAGAATGACTATCGGCATGAGAGAAGATAATAAATGCAGAAATGGTTCTCAATAGCTTTTAGTTTTGAAGGCGGAATTTTTCGTGTCTAGTTGTTGCTTGTTTAGTCTCTTCTGATCACATGAGGGCGTGGATGCCCAAACTGTTGCCTGTTTTCATGAGCTATTTGACCCTTGTGCCTGCATCTTGATGAGATACACAAACTAAGGAATAAAGTAGTTTTTGATTGTTGCCTGATTTATGTTATTATATATACCTTCTGGGTAGTGCAACATGGCATTGCGCCATTGCCTTTGGCAAAATAGCAACCTCATTGATATCATCTCTCACTGTGTCACTACTTACCAATTTCATGCCAAAATTTTCTGAACAGCTAGGGCGAGGAGCTGCTGCTGCAATGCCATGGCACGTCTGTTTCTACTGAATCCGCTACAAGCCTACAACTCTGGTAAGAAAACAAGGCAAACCATGTTGAATTTATTTCGGCTGCCATAGTATGTTCGTTGGATTGAAATCTCAACTGTTTGAAAAGCACAAAAAGTCCATTTCGCTCTACATGAAAAGATCAGTTCTATCACTAAATAATCTACAGGTGTTGGAAGAAAAAGAACGGAATAAACAATTGTGCCCACTTCTTCCTCGATCAAGAATTCAGGATCATCCAGCTTTAGCCTTACTCGCCAAGAAAGCGTCCAGCTTGTCGTTCTGCACCCGGCCGAGGAACCTGATGCAGATGGGCGGCGTGACGTCGTACCTCGCGAGCAGCGCGTACGGTATGGAGAAGAGGCCGTCGCCGCAGATGAGCCCGGACGCCAGCACCGGCCCGAACACCTGCGATCCCAGCTTGTCGTTGCGGTTCCACAGGAACACGATCAGGCTGCCGATGCACATGTCGATGGACACCGCCGGCACCAGCAGGAACGACACGGCCATGCCGGTGACGCTCGGGATGTACGGCTCGGCGCGCCACTTGCCGTGCGCGGCCACCTCCCGCATCGCGCAGACGGCCAGCGCCAGCACGAAGAAGGTGGCGCTGATGGCGAGGCAGTACTTGGGCAGCTCGAGGCCGCCGGCGCCGAGCACGGCGATGCCCCGGTAGATCTTGGCCAGCGGCGCCTGGTACGTCTTGTTGGGGTTCATCTCGTAGAAGTGGTGGAAGACGGTGAACACGGCCGGGTTGACGACGCACCCCATCGCCGTGCCGATCACCTGGCTCACCAGCGTGGCCCGCGGCGAGGTGAGCGTCAGGTAGCTCGTCTTGAAGTCCGACATGAAGTCGGAGGCGGTGGAGACGATGGACGACACGATGCCGCAGATGACGAGGCTCCCGACGATCCCGCCGTTCTTGATCCCGATCCACGACGCGAACATGAGGATCACCAGCTTGTTGTACTGCGCCGAGAAGTTGGTCTCCGCGACGCCCGTGCCGTAGGCGTTGCAGAAGGCCAGGACGGGCGCGAACGCGTACGCGGCGGCGACGTGGTAGTACCTCACCTGGCCGTACATGAGCGGGATGACGACGGTGGAGACGGTGGCCAGGACGACGTACCCGCTGATGGCGAAGGTGCTCGGGATGTGCTCCCTGAGGAACACCTGCGTCCTGCGGCGGTCGTCGAAGCTCATCACCGGCCGCGGCATGGCGTCGACGTCGGAGAAGGACCTGAGCGTCTCCGCCGCTACCTGGTGGTGGCGCACCGTGTGTATCGTCCTCAGCGAGATCGCGACGAGCTGGAAGATGCCGTCGCCGAGGATCATTGCTATGGCGCAAAACACCTTCTCGATCACAACAAAGTGAAGTCTGACTGATTCTTGATGCACATCATCGACGTCGTCTTTTTTTTTTTTTTGTCTAACAACAAATATTCGATCATTGGTAGTACCTTGTATCCACTGAAGCTCTTCAAGTTCGTCTCCTGGAGATCGGCGTCGTACCAGATTCCTCTTTTGCTCCGGATGTACGGCCGCATGATCCCCCAGGAGATGATGGACCCGAAGAGCATCGAGACGTTTATCAGGTGAGGACTGATCATCCCGATTCCCACATAAGTTCCGTTCAAACTGATGTAGAAACTGCAACGCAACAAACAACGAAACACAAGTCACTCAAGCCGATGATCGATTAATTTCTCCAGCCCGAATAAAAACTTTGCATGAATTCAGTGTTCGAATTCGTCGGTTTCCTCGGTTCGTTGCCTAGCTCAGGCTCGGCTCAGCTTACCCGCGATTGAAGGCGCTGAGCCCAAACGTTGGGAAGGAAGTGAAGCCGCAGTTTGGACCTCCGGTGTAGAACCACTGGAAGATGGACCAGAACAAGCTCGCCAACGACGACCGGAGAACGAGCGAGACTTGCCTCCTGTGATCACAAGTAGACGTAGATATTACCGTAAATCATGTGACAACATGGCTATAACTCACCAAGCTAGTGATAATCTGCTCACTTCGCTTGTCTAGCGCCGTGAGGGGTATGGAAGCTGTTGATGAGGTGAGCCGTCGCCGAGCCGCTTGGGAACGTCAGCCGGTGGCGGATGATCATTGTCTACGGACGGATGAACCAGTAAATCGGCGAAGAATCAGGGAGCTATGATCTCTTCTTCTTCTTTTTTTTTTTGTATTTTTAGGTGCGTTCGTGGATCGTACCTTCCTCATGGGGACAATGGCGAGGAGACCGACGAAGCTAACGAGGAAGAAGAAGGCCATCATCCGACCGAACTCCGGCTCACTGACGCTCGCGCTGGAGTCGTCCCCGGTGCTCGTCTTCTCCGCCGTCTTCCGATCCATGGCCAGCAGATACGATCCAAACCCACCTAAGAACAGGCCAGCCGCCAGCGACGTCGGCGTTACGACGGCGAGATCAATGGAAGAGGCAATGCAGGAAGAGGCAAGAGCGCGGCGTCGTGTCGCGCGCGGTGGCGTACCGCTGTATGTCATGCTGGCGCAGGCGACGACGCAGGTCTGGACGACGGCGTTCTCCTGGCGGGTGAAGGGGCGGCCCGGCGAGCCGAGCTGGTCGAGCAGGCGCGTCCAGGCCTTGAGGAGGAAGAAGCCGAGGAGGCCGGCGGAGATGTTGAGCGACGGGATGATCCCCGACGTGAACACCAGGTTCATCATCACGCTGCTCAGGGCCACGCCCAGCGCCACGCTCGCCACCACGGCGCGCAGCGTCACCTGCTCCGTCCACGGCGGGACGGGCTGCCCCTCGAACGCGCGCTCCGTCGACGGCCCATCCCGCGGGTCGCCGACCGACTCCATCCCGGCCACTTTTCCTCCTCCTCCTTACGCCGCGCTTTGCCTCGCCGGAGTATCGTCGGTGCGGATCGAGCTGGCAGCCAATGCATCTACTGCGTTCGATCGTGCCTGCGCATGCATGCAAGTGATGGTCGATCTGGAGGAGGGCAAGGGGAAGAGGAGAACGGAGGAAGAGGACCGAACGAGTGAACACGAGAGGCAGGAAGGCTACATATGCTTTGGCTATTCTTGGCAGAGCCCAAGAGGCAAGAGATGGTAATGCAACCGCGAAATGTTAGATTTGGAGGTGTCACTGCTCCTTCGCACCCTCTTGGCTCTTGCCATGCATGAAGCCAGAAGCAGAATCTCGATTAGCCGGTAAAATTCGAGCTCCAATCATTTTTTCGCTGATTTCAATCAATTTTTGATAAATTTCGAACGAAGTTCAACAGTTGAACAGACCATTCGAAATGATGGCTCGAGATGGTCGAAATTCGTGGAGATCGTGACCCTTGGCTAGAAGTTACTCAAATACCAACAGCGCAACGTTCTTGCCATGCAAATAAGTAGTTCAATTACCAGCGGTGCAATGCGAGGGATGATAGTCCCAAAAATCAGTGAATCGTCGTCATCTTGGTTGTTTTGAGGAATGGTACTCAGGAAAAGGGAATCGTAACTATTGTGACTTTCATGGATCCTCAGACCAAACAACTCTAGACATTAAAACAAAATGTTTCTATAAGCAATCATGCATGCTCAGGTGGCGCTCACACAGATACAATGCAAATAAGTCTAAAAAAGCAGATTCCATTTCTTGTGTAGCTTTTTTGGAGACATTTCTAGTGTGGCTACGCATTCTAATAAGGGTTTGTTTACAACAGAAGAAACAGAAACAAAAAGGGATAAAACAGTAGATAAGTAACAGAATTTTCTTTGTTGCCAAGGACATCCCTAGTGGTAGACAAGGCTAGGAAAACGTCCATTGCTCATGCAATTTATTCTTCTCATACTTCTGTACAAAGGACATCTAAATAATTGTTGTGTTGTACTGCAAAGACATTTTGCTCCATCTAATTAACCAACTGATCCCTCAAGCTTCAGGTTCATAAGTGCATCCATCTCATGTGCAAACTCGTAAGGAAGATTCTCGAAAACAGCCCTGCAGAATCCACCAATCATCGCTGCAACAGCCTTTTCATGGTCTATCCCCCTTTGTTGGAAATAAAATAGCTGGTCCTCCCCTATTTTTGAAGTGCTTGCCTCATGCTCAACACGACTAGAAATGCAACCCACCTGTTATCACGCAAGTTGGAACAGAATGTTAGTGTAAATGTAATTTCAGCCATATTAGATAAAGAAATAGATGATACGCATTTTAGGCATAAGTATAGTACTGGAGGCTCATTAGTTACACATCTGTATTCAAAACTGCAAATACATGTAATTGCAGATTATGGAAGTGCTTGTGCATAGGACATGCGTGCACAGAGATAACTCATGTCTAGCTCAAGATCACAATGGGCCATCAAGAATACCATGAGAAACATTAACTGCTGGAACTAAGCGAGTAGCCTAGAGGTGATGGTAAGCAACTTAAAGGTACAGTGATATTGCAGAAAGAATGCATGACACTATTAGACAAACGAGGTCAACCCAGCGGCTTCTATGAGGAAGGCAGCGCAAAGGAGGCCCGAGCGCTTGTTAGGAAGGCCGAAGGCGGCTAGGGTGCTGAAGGGCGGAAAGCTAAAAGGTCATCTAAAGGTGTATTTGAATGGGAGCATGATGAAACCTGAAGCGGTACTAAAGTTGTGCTGGCTATACGCCATCAGTGTCATATAAATGTTCCAGATGAATAAGTATGAGATTTTTCCTGCTTTTGAACATGAAAACGTGCATGGCAGGAGATTTTCTAACCATAAGATAAATTGGACTAAACCAATAGTTTGACTCTTATAGTTTTTAGCCAGCATAAAAGTTAAATTCAGTAATATGGAATCAACGGCGACCATATTTCTTCTAATATATGGAACAGTGTGTATTCCCAAAAAGGGTGTCATTACCATTTACTTTGCATGTCAATATATTGAAACTTAAATGGAGAAGACTGATTGTAACCAAGGACTACGAAGATTAATATGAAACCCTCCAACTTGCAAAATTATCAAAGCCCCTATTAATTTATACATGCTCTATTGCTTTTGTAAAACAGAAACTGAAAAATGACATACAGAACAAAGGATTAACAACCTACTCTTAATAGTTTGCATTATAAAAATGCAATTGGCCCTTCATGCCAGGCAAATCAAGAACAGCAGAGCAGTTACCTGAATAGTCGGATAGGTGTTGGCAGCAGCGTTATCCCCAATCAGCAAAGAATCACACTGTGAAGAATTATAAGCATTTTCTGCGCCTGAGTTTATCTGGACCAACCCACGGTAGCAATTCCGTGACTTCCCAGCTGAGATACCTTTGGATATAATCCGACTCCGCGAATTCTTTCCCTTGTGGATCATTTTTGTCCCTGTGTCTGCCTGCTGGTAATCCTTCGTCAGTGCAACTGAGTAGAACTCTCCAACAGTATCATCCCCAAGAAGCTCCACACTTGGGTACTTCCATGTAATTGCTGAACCTGTCTCAACCTGTGTCCATGAGATCTTAGAGCCCCGCCCTTTGCACCGTCCTCTCTTAGTAACAAAGTTGTAAATGCCCCCCTTCCCCTCCTCATCACCAGAGTACCAATTCTGCACCGTAGAGTACTTGATCTCTGCCTGCTCCTCACACACAAGCTCCACAACCGCCGCATGGAGCTGGTTGGAGTCATAAGCTGGAGCAGTACACCCTTCCAGATAGCTAACCGTGCTCCTCTCATCAGCCACAATTAGAGTCCTCTCAAATTGCCCGGTCTCCTTGTCGTTGATCCTAAAGTATGTCGATATCTCCATTGGGCAAACCGTATCCTTGGGCACATAGCAGAACGACCCATCGCTGAACACGGCCGAATTGAGGGCAGCATAGTAGTTATCTGCCGGCGGCACGACGCTGCCAAGGTAGCGCTTGACAAGGTCCGGGTACTCGCGGATGGCCTCGGAAATGGAGCAAAAGATGACGCCCTTCTTCATGAGCTCCTCCCGGTGGGTGGTGGCGATGGAGGTGGAGTCGATGACGGCATCGACGGCGACGTTGGCGAGGCGCTTCTGCTCGCTGAGCGGGATCCCGAGGCGATCGAAGGTGTTGAGAAGCTCCGGGTCGACCTCGTCGAGGCTGTTGAGCTTGGGCTTGGTCTTGGGCGCGGAGTAGTAGCAGATGGACTGGAGATCCACCGGCTCGTACACGTTGTCGCTCCAGGTGGGCTGCACCATGGTCAGGAACCGGCGGTAGGCGGCGAGGCGGAAGTCGAGCATCCACGCCGGCTCCGCCTTGAGCTCCGAGATGCGGCGGACCGTGGCCTCGGAGAGCCCCTTGGGGATGGAGAAGGACTCGAAATCAGACACGAACCCATACTTGTACTCCCTCTTCAGCAGGTTCTGCAGCGTCTCCGATTCCGTCCCCGCCTGGGACGACGACGACGGCGATGGCTTCTGCGGGCCCGTCTGCACGGCCACCACCGAGAGGCGTCCACGGCGCGTGCACGGCCTCCGCCGGGATCCGTACGACGACGGGCACGCCGCCCCGAGCTTGGCGGTCGCGGCGGCGCAGCAGGGCGAGAAGAGGGGCGTGGACGACGCGGCGGCTGCGGCCATGGTGCGGCGGCGTGGCGAGGCCGAGGCGAAATTAGGGATGCGGATGGGATGGAGAGCGCAGGAGGGGTGGGTTGTTGTTCGGTGGTGTGGACCCGTGCTACGTGAGCCTCAGCCGCGCGTGAGGCCGGCGCGGGTGGGCGCGGTCCACGGGAAGCCCGGCGCGATGGGGGCACGGTCGTGTGGCGGCCGAGAGGCGTGGCGCGGCAGTGGATGTGGTTCGCGCCGCGTGGCGGGCCATGCGGAAAACGCCGTGGTTTTGTGCGATTTCTCCCCGTTTCTTGGCCTCGCCACTCCGCCACCGCAAAAAATTCCACCGCACACGCGACGACGAAACCGCCTCTGGCTGGGGGCTTTAGACCTTCAACGGTGCCCGTTCACCCGCGATCCGACGGTGGGGGAGCCCCTCGCCGTCCAGATCTCAGCCTCTCGGATCGGACGGAGCGTGAGGTCGTCGGGTCACCCAACATTTTCTCCACACGCGGCGACTTTCTAGCAAAAACGCAGTTCGTTTAACGAGAGTCGCTCACTTCTCGTTCAGGTTCAGCAATCGCAATCTCGTCTCATCGTCGCCGGCCATGGCGGCGTCGTCCTTGCTCCGGTCGCTCTCCCGCATCTCGCGCCGCGGCTGCGTGGGAGGCGCGGGGCCGAGCCCGTTCCACCACAGCCGCCTCCCGTACTCGCCGTTCTCCACCGCGGCGGCGGATGCGGTGGAGAGGAGGGGGTTCGCGGGGCTGGGGCCGACGGCGAAGGGGGAGAAGGCGCGGGTGGTGGTGCTGGGGACCGGGTGGGCGGGGTCGCGGCTGATGAAGGACATCGACACGACCGGGTACGAGGTGGTGTGCGTCTCCCCGCGCAACCACATGGTGTTCACGCCGCTCCTCGCCTCCACCTGCGTCGGCACGCTCGAGTTCCGCTCCGTCGCCGAGCCTCTCGCGCGCATCCAGCCCGCCGTGTCCAAGTCCCCCGGCTCCTACTTCCTCCTCGCCCGCTGCACCGCCGTCGACCCCGACGCTCACACGGTGAGACCCCCATAGCAGCTCTGGGTTGGTGTGTGCGGCCAAATGGCCACTGGTTTTACAGACGTGCCTGCGTGGGGAATGCCTGTTTCCAACATTCTTGGAGGAGTGATCAAAATGTGGGAATGATCGAAGCTCGATCCTTTCTATTTTTCCTCGTGCAGAATCGATACTTTTGACCTTTTTGAATAGGGGAGAGGAGTGAATCGGATTTCTGGGCTTTGCTGGAGGAATCTTGACTTTACTCATCTGCATCGTGATCCATCCACAGCATGTGCTGCGTGTCTCTTAAGTAGTTGATTGAGTAGTTGGTGAGCTGCCTTTTGGTCACATCGAAGGAGAAGAAAGTTAGACCAATAATAATGGGGAAAATAGCTAGAGAACGCTGCTGAACTTGCGTATATTCACGAATTCATCTATGGTTCGTCAGATTCTATGTGATACTGTATTTATTGTTTAGTACTCCATCCGGCCCAAAATGTAGCAACCTATCTAGTAGAGTACTAGGTTGCTATATTTTAGGACGAAATAGCTTTTGCCTGGAAAAGAGGCATGGTACTTCGTGAATATTCACCATCTAGTGCATATTTAGGGTGCAGTTTTCATTTAAACTTTACAAACCCACTGGATGGTTAATACATGAATTTCCTATACCAATTTTTCTCTGAAAAGTTGTTTCACCTATTTATTCATCGTCCTTTGACCTTTAGATTGATTGCGAGACAGTTACTGAAGGTGAGAAAGATACCTTGAAACCTTGGAAATTCAAGGTAGCGTATGATAAGCTGGTCTTTGCGTGTGGAGCTGAGGCCTCAACTTTTGGGATACGTGGTGTTACTGACCATGCAATATTTCTCCGGGAAGTTCACCATGCTCAAGAAATTCGCAGAAAGCTCCTTCTGAACCTGATGCTATCTGATGTACCTGGTATGCCACAGAAACACAAAACAACTCAAATCAAGATATTTGTGTTACTTAGGTAATTTGTCACATTGACAACTATCACACACTCACACTTCACTGGCACAAAGGAATCAGTAATTACTCGTTACTTTTACATTTTGTTTGTCTCTTGATGAAATTTGCAACTACATTAACCTGGGCTCTTATTGCTGTTTCTTGTTTTTCTCTGTTTGATTGAGCAGAATTTAGAATAGAACTATTACATTTTAGGTATACTTGTTTTTTACAAAATACCTTGTGTGCTGAAATCTAATTTTGTTTATATCCTCCTTATTATAACCAATTGGCCAATGTTATTTGTTAAAACAGGAATATCGGAGGAAGAAAAGCGCAGACTTTTGCATTGCGTTGTTGTTGGAGGTGGTCCAACAGGTGTCGAATTTAGTGGTGAACTTAGTGATTTTATCATCAGAGATGTTAAACAGCGTTATTCACATGTTAAAGATTATATCCATGTTACCTTGATTGAGGTTAGAGCTGTTGGCATCTCTCCCTCTCTCTAAACTTTGACCACACTTAACAAATTTTGTTTCATTTTATTATTTCAGGCAAATGAGATATTGTCATCTTTTGATGTTCGCCTCAGGCAATATGCTACAAATCAACTAACTAAGGTATGTAATCTCTGTCTAATCTAGTGTTGTACTGTTGTGCCATTTTAAGCCATCATGTACCAAGACTCCAAGACCTAAAAATATGTGTGGATCGTATAAGAAAGCTGGCAGTGAAATACTAAAAATAACTTGTGATCATCCAACAGTCAGGTGTTAGGCTTGTGAGAGGCATTGTGAAGGATGTACAACCCAACAAATTAATCCTGGACAATGGAGAAGAGGTTCCTTATGGTTTGCTGGTATGGTCTACTGGAGTTGGTCCTTCATCATTCGTTAAGTCGTTGCCATTTCCAAAGTCACCAGGTGGAAGGTATTGTAAATTGGCTTGACCGTATGGAGTTTCATGTATATGCATCATATACTGAATGGGATTTGATTATATGCACCTGCGCACCTTCTGTACTTTGAGGAATAGGGATATATATATATATCTTCTACATGTAGTTCATTTGTGAATCAGGTTTCACCATGCACTATAAGAAGCTTCTACTATCTATAGGCTTTTGGTATCCACCCAATTACTGGTGTAACATGGCTATCTACATCTTTGGTACCTGTGATAGATTTACTGGTTGCCTGGTCACAGGATTGGGGTTGATGAGTGGTTACGTGTTCCTTCTGCCCGGGATGTGTTCGCTATTGGGGATTGCAGTGGATTTCTTGAAAGCACAGGCAAGGATGTTCTCCCAGCTTTAGCTCAGGTACTTATCTGAACATCTTCCTACAGTCCGAGTCAATCACAAAGTATTTGGCAAACTAATATTTGGGCTTCCTTAATCTTTTCTGGAGTACCAAGAACACTGGGAGGAATAGGAACCAGAAAAAAAAAAGACAAAAGGGCCTTACATCAACATTAAACAGATTCTTGGCCATGACAAACCTCATCTATTGTATAAGGGCCTGTTCACTTTGATGCCAAAAAAAATCTTACCAAATTTTGGCATGATTTCTTATATAGTTACCAAAATTTGGCAGCAAACTAAATGTAGCCACTTTTTTGGCAACTTTACCAAAATTTGGTAAGGTTGAAAATGGCATCAAAGTGAACAGGCCCTAATTTCTGTTCTTTCTCATACAAATACTTTCTGTTGTTTGAAGTAGATGCACTCTCTCATATGATTACTTAATTCAATTATTTTCTTTAGAAGAAACTTCCAAAACAGTATCATCCCTCATTTTGTTTAAAGAAAACCAAGTAGTTCCGCAGGTTTGAGGTAAAGGAAAACATGCAGGGTGTGGTATAAGACCCTCTTTAAGTTCAGAAAACGCTTTACTTAGGCCAGGCTAAGTAGTAACTTAAAAGGCTAAAGGGTTTAACATAAACCGAAACAAGATCTTTCGGTGAAACAATTCCCAATCCTTTCACTATCTTGGATTATTGATATCGGTTAGAAAGAAATGGGCATCTTCTCGTATTAGATATTTATACATTCTACTGCACTTGTACTCTGGAACAGGTTGCAGAACGACAAGGCAAGTATCTAGCTCACCTGCTTAACCATGTCATGAAAGCTGGAGGAGGGCATGCGAACTGTGAGATCGACGTTGATCTAGGTCCTGCCTTTGTGTATAAGCATCTGGGGAGCATGGCAACTGTCGGAAGATACAAAGCTCTAGTCGATCTGAGGCAAAGCAAGGCTGGTTACTGTTTCTGTCTGTAAAAAAAACTTGCATTGTTCTAAACTTCTGACGAGTTAACTGAAATTGTCCCTTTATTGTCAGGAATCGAAAGGGATATCTCTTGCAGGATTTGTGAGCTGGTTCATCTGGCGCTCAGCATACCTGACTCGTGTTGTTAGCTGGAGGAACAGGTTTTATGTGGCTATCAACTGGCTGACCACACTGTTATTTGGCCGTGACATTAGCCGTATTTAGGTGCCTGTTTGTAGATATCTGAACGATGAACAGTACAGTGCATCCTTTCCCACTTCTTTTTTTTTGTCAGATATGTGTAATTTCCACAGAATTTTTTTCTTAAATAACACTATCAAAACAAACCAAGGAAGCGAGTTCAAACTTTAAATACTGATGATTAGTATCGCTATCTGGAGAAGTCTAAGAATCATGGAACGTCCGTGCAACTTATCACCATCTTTTAAAATCCGTGGGTTCTGGCCTCCATCGCGATTTTGTGCACTGTCCACTTGTTCAGGCTTCATTTTTACCCAGAGCTGACTTAAGAAGTACAGAAAACAATAACTAGAGTGATTACTATCTGTGAAGACCGCATGTGAACAATATGGTTACTTGTTTCATATAATTTATAAAATCCTTATAAACCTTTACAATAATAAAATTATGACATCTTGAAGTAGTTAAACCTCAAAAACAGAATCCAAGCAAAATTTGATGTATGATCACTCTATCTTCATATTTAAACTTCAAAATTAATACTGTACTGGGTACACATCTACACATAGAAAACATAATGTACGGACTACAAACGGCGCCTGAAAATCAACATGGATTTACCTTCTATTTAGAAATTTATTAGGTCATGTACAACCTATATTGTATCACCTAGAACTTGGGTTAAATCCTGGATGATCAACTGCTGCACTACATAAGTACAATTTCTTAAGGACGGAACATCATTACTGTCATATGCAAGAGTTCAAGAACATTGAGCATACAGCAAAGCCCCACCCTCATCCAACAGTAGGTGAGAGTAAGATGGTGCAATTGATTGAGCAGTCAAACAGGATCTGATGCAGCTCCCAATCAACAAAGCAAAGCATACTAAAGTAGTACATCCATAACATGAGCTTGCTGAAGCAGATCTTCATCATCATCATCATAGCAGTCATAACTCATGAGCCTCGTTGTCCACATTGGTGAGATCCAAATCTTTTCAGGTTCCAATATGCTGCTTCATTGCTAGAGTTCTGGTGACATGTGAGTAATTGTTCACCCAGTAGAGCTGCAGCAGCTTGCAATAGCACCTTCATTTCGCGCCAGGAGGTAGCCCTGAAGCTCTTCACAGCTTTGCTTAGAGATTCCACTGTTTCATCCGTTTAAATAGTTGTGACAACTAAGACAAAAAGCAACAATGTTGAGATGAACTGTGTTTGGTTCTATAATATGTTTAGCACATTCTTTGAACAGTATACACAGTGATCTTGTGTTTTCTAATTGAACAGACTCAATGCATTTTCATTTTACATCTTGGGGCAGTTCTGCAGAAAAATAGCATTGAATCTGTTCATGTAATACTGCAAAAGAGTAAAATATTTACATGGAAGTTATTGAGGTAATTCTGCAAGCCAAAAAAAAAAACAATTAACTGGCTTATGTGTGAGCTTTTGGAAGATATGTAGGATAGATGTACTGAAAACCCAAAAACACAGAGTTGTCTCCCTTCCCTGCCAAGAGCACCTAAGCACCACCCAAACCCTTCCGAGTTTGTTTCCATATGCCAATCTACTATCCATGCCAGTCATAGATGCAGAAAAATACCTGTTACTCTCGGCTAGAGACAGGCATACAAATCTGGAAAATCAACCAGACCTCTTTGTGACAGCTGGTCTGGGAGCTTTGTATTTTGTCCGAAATGGAAATCAATCAGAAGAAATCTCTTCAAATTCTCTTCTGCCAAGTTCCACATGAAATAAATGTTACATGGTCATAAAATAGAAGTGACCAAAGACAAACATGATATATATAACTCACATGTCATATAAAGTTCAATACTATGAACTTCCTTATTACTACGAGCTAAGCAATTTTGTTCCAAATAATAAACCCCTTTCTATGCACACAATCAGTACTTAAATGTATTAAGCTCTTTCTATGTTAAATCCGTTCCTCAATATGTAGTTCCAAAAAGGGGAGTAATCCCATCCCCACAAAAAGTGTGCTATTCCTTAAAAGCAAGCAAGTAATATAAAGGTTATCACAGTTACACCCACCACTGCTCAATGAAACAGCTTCCATGGATCATAAAATTCACGGCGATGGCAAAGTTTACCTTGTCTATTGAAACAATCAATGCGTGAGTATTTTCATTGGAGGATAAACAAGGACTAAAGATCAGGCTATGTACCTTCTCCCAAGCAACAAAAGACAATTGTGTCCATGGATCCATTCTCTGGGTATTCCTTCCAACTTCAATATACTACATTATTGACCTGTTAGTTTTCTATATGTCTGAAGGAGCTTATTGACACAAATAAAAACACAATGTTTATGCCTATTATTTGATGCACAAGAATACCATTGTGTTGGATGCACATTTCAGCATCCAATTTATTGTCATGGAAATGCAGTTGAACCATTCATTACCTTTCGAATGCAAAAATGTCTTGATCAATAACTTTCCATAAATTAAACAGGTACAGGCTACATGAGAACTAAACAGATAAACATTTCAGTGCAACCTACGGGGGAAAATGAAAAGAGAAGAAAAAATGTTACACTACAACACAGGAGACATCACCCGAAGAAATGAAATGCAATAGTTGAAAATCAGCGAGCATGGCATGCAGAGTTTAGATCAACACCACAACACAGAATGTTCAGTTTATCCTTCGCCTCTTGTTCCGTTGGAGGCCCCCGCCATCAGCATCCAAAGAACCCAGGGCACTGCTCCTCCCTCTCCTCCTCAGGGATCTTGATGACCCCGCGTTACTTGGTTCTCCTGCACTCTCAGAGATACCAGCATCCCCCTGTATCACTGCAGCAGTGCTTGAGTTAGATGCTTGGTCTGCAGAAGGTGCTGCAACAACATGAGTTCTGTCAAATGTTGACTCGAGATTTGGAGGATTCGATGATGAAGCCGATGCACCATATTGGCTTGGTCCAGTTATCCTTCTAAAATCACTCATGGCAGATGCAAATCTTTCCGTGTCTTCATACCCAAGAAGGGTAAGTCCACGCAACCAGTCAATTCCATCTGGTAATAATGAGCTCGGACCATTTCTGGATGGATCCGATGCATTGTTTCTGATCAAACCACTGTCAGGGGAAGTGGATCCGCCATCGGGAGGGTTAGGGTTGTCTGCTTCTCTCAGCAACCGTCTTGCTCTCATCCTTGACGCCAATCTACTTAGGCGACTGGTGTGCTGAGCGTGAGCAGTGTCAACCATTTCCTGCACAGCTGATTCAGGCGGACCTTCAAACCTACTCGCAGTATTCATAATCTGTTGGTCCAGAAGGCGCCTCCATGATGACAATAACCCATGAGCCTCACCAAGCCTTCTTGAGATCGGTCGCAAATGGTGAAACTGCTGCCTGAAGCTTTCGAGCCGATTTCCATGTGGTCTTGGTGGGATAGTAGGACCTGTTTGTTTCCCACCTTCCACAGCCTTCTCGGCATCCAAACATGAATTCCCTCTCCCATAGATCGGAGTAATATTCGCCTCAGTCACCTCGCCTTTGCAGACTGGGCATTCCTTGTGATTGGAATAAACATTGAGCCATTGGTACAAGCAAGGCCAGCAGAAGAGATGGCCACAAGAGGTGACCACCGGCTCGCTGGCCATATCGAAGCATATATTACACTCAAATGTGGCAGCGCTCCTGCCCTGCTCCTCCGATTCCTCGGAGGCGCCTACTTCCGCGCCATCGGCAGCTACCTTATTATGTTCAACAGTATCATTCATCGGTTCATGCTGCAGCACTGGGACTGCGGCAGCATCACGCCCAGCTGGGTAAGCTTCAGAACTGAGTGGCGGAAGGTCCGACCTAAACCGCCTCGCACGGAGCCATCTGCTTCCAGTCTGCTCGAGAAGCCGCCAGTAACGGGCTGCGGTGTCAGGGAGGAAAGAGGACGATGCCGTCGACGAAGACGGCCGGTCCTCCCAACCTAGCAGTTCGCTGGCACGCACCAGCGGCGGCGGGGGGTGGAGGCCAAACTCGAGGTCGTCAGGGAGCTCCGAGACCACCGGAGCCGGAGGCGGCGCATACGGCGGCAGGTGCGTCTCGGAAGCAGGCGGGTCGTCGGGGTTGTACAGGGAGTAGACCTCCTGCAGCGGAGGGGAAAGGTCGGCGTGAGAGGGGGAGTACGGGGGATGCGACAGCTCGGGCGGTGGCGGCGGCGCGTCGACGGAGGCTGCGGAGGAGGACGGGGAGGAGGGCATCGGGGTGCTGAGGGCGAGGTCGGAGCCGAGGTCGGAGCGGCGCGGGCGCGGGGCGCGTGGGAGGCCAAGGTAGAGGTTCAGATCCATCCTCCTGCTACTCCCCGCGGCCTCATCGGCGTCCATCCGACGGCGACGAGCTCCAGCTTCCTCCGGACAGCACCAGGTCGCCGGCTTCAGCTCCCCACCTTACCATAGTAGGTCGTCTCCCCCAAGAGGAAAACCCTAGCTAGAGACAGAGGCACTGCGCGGGAGAGCTGCGTTATAGGTTGGGTAGCAGTAACACATCTCCGCCGGTGCTCACGCCGGCAGATTAGCAGGCGGCGCCGCCGGTAAGCGGCGGCTGAGGTGGGAGGAGGAGAGGGAGAACCGGAGAAGAGAAGGGGAGAGAGAGTAGCAGCAATGTGGTGCCAAAAAGAGGTGCCCTTTTTATTGGGTTTGGTTACCGCAGCAGAGAAGAATAGGTTTGCGGCTTGCAAGTTGCTGAAACGTGCTAGCGTCAGGTGAACGTGGGTTAATTTGGGATTTGGAAAGCCATTAGCCGTAGAAAGAAATACTTTTTACCTGTGTTATTATCTTGCACGTTATAAACCCATCTCTCTCTTAATAGCCTAAAAGAAGCAAATGAGGTGGACCCAGTTGCAGTGGCTCATGTGTCATGTGCTGTTGCTGTTGCCTTTCAGCAGTCAGCTCAAACAATTTTACAGCTAAAAAAGCTGAAAAGGTAATAGTCATGATTACATACGCTGAGGGAAACAAAACAAATTCACGATGATGATTTACATTTAAGAACAACAATCCCGTGCCAATATAAAGCTTGCTAAGACAAACCATGCAGAAGAACTGTAACATCGGGTTCTCCTGAAACAATGCATCATTTCTACTTTGGCCCGCTTTAGTTCGCACACAAAAATTTTACACCGCATCACATCGAATGTTTGAACACATGTATAAAATATTAAATATAGGCTTAAAAATAACTAATTGCACAGATTGCGACTAATTTACGAGACGAATCTTTTAAGCCTAATTGCTCCATGATTTAACAATGTGTTGCTACAGTAAACATTTACTAATGATGGATTAATTAGGCTTAATAAATTCGTCCCGCTGCTTACTGGCAGATTCTGTAATTAGTTTTTTTATTAGTGCCCGAATGCCCTATACGACACCCTATATAATATCCGATGTGGCACGCCAAAACTTTACACCCCTCGATCTAAACACCACCTTTGTTGATTGAGACAGAGATGCCATGGTAAAATGCTACTCCCTTCGTTTCAGGTTATAAGATATTTTGACTTGCCGCTTCAAATTTGATCAAGTTTATAGAAAAAAGTAATATTTTCGACCTAAGATAAATTTATTATAAATATATATTTAATTATTAATTTAATAAACTAATTTGGTAATGTGAATATTATTGTATTTGTCTATAACGTTAGTCAAACTTAAAGTAGTTTGACTTTGGTAAACCACAAAACTGAACAACAAAACCTAAAACTGGAGGGAGTATACCACAAAAAAAACATAATGGACAACAAAACTCTCACAGTAGCCATTAGCCAAAGAAGATGTCACGGATGTAGACAAATTGAACAGTTGTTGATTGAGCCAGAGATGCCATGGTAAAATACTAGCACCATATTGGACGACAAAACTTTCTCAAAGTAGTAGAAGGAAATGTCACGGGTATAGGCAATCTCATCATGGTAGGAAAACAGCATCTGAGGTAAGTTGCTCTACATGTTGTCATTTGCCCCGATGCGTGCACTCTTCTGCTGAATAGCTCCACCAGAAAGTTGGTGTTCATTGTTGTGGGCTAACAATGTCAAGAATCTGCAAACACAGAGGAAACAAAAACGTGCAAGTGTCTGGTTAATTAACTTAGAGTTAACAAGGAATATCTTGTGGATAGAAGAGCAAATGCAACGGAAAGAGAAACCTTATTGGTGAACTGTTGAAAAACTTGTCCTTCCATCAATTTCTCTAATTCCTGAGGATGAATTAATGAGGGAGTGGGCATCATAAAATAAAGGTGGTAGAGAGAGGAAAAAAATAAATGTAAGTGAGAAAAGTTATATTCGTATCAGTATTCAGCAGACTATAGTAAAAGGAATTAATTCATCGAACGTGCCCATTTGAAGCTTCTCAACTACTGGTAGGAAAATGAAGTCATGATGGTGGAATAAGAAACAGAAGTGTTGTACTATAACAGTGACAATGTTCATTACTGCAAACCATTGTCCTCAATAGGTATTGGCATATTATGTGCATGTTATTTGAGCAGCCGGACAGAAATTGCAAACATAGTTAACTTGTTAAATAAACTTGCAGTTATCACAAGAGTAGAGAATTACCTTTTCTGGCTCTGCAGAGCCATCAATCTTAAGTAGCATTTGCTGAAGCTTACAATCTTTCAGAGCATCTCGGATCTCATTAGATTCCGCTGGCATGGATACAAAAATCAAGCAATGAGTTAATTGATGATGTTTATTTCTTTTTGCGAGACAAGACGATGAGTATTACTATGATTAATTAAATAAGGTAGAAATGCTAGCAGGTTATGAAATTTGTACAGGGAGGGATGTGGAACCAATATACAAAATTGACTAGCATGAAGCCCATATTCTGCTTACAGTACTATCCTTACTAACTATTTGTCAACTCTTACGAATAACCACTCTCCAAATGCCACTTACGATTGTCCTTACATTTTTGCCACCGGAGAGAAATTTTCTTAACAATTTGCCCCTTTCACCGATGTGGCATACCAGCATGGACTGAGGACGTGAATGTCCTTTTTGCCCCTGCCACTCCCCTTCATCTCATTGAGATCATCCACAGCGGTGCACGTATGCTTCTGGCTTCCTGCTTGCGGGGTCACCTCCTCATTGAGACCATCCGCGGCCACACCAGCCACGCTGTCTCATCAAGCCTCGTCAATCATGTGTCAGCGGCAAGAAGGTTGTGCACTGCATCTGCATCATCTTCTTCGGCAGGCCAGATAACCGCGAGGCCCTCAAACTCACTGGGAGGATGGCGGAGCACCCCGGTGCAGGTCGTCATGCGGTTCATTGATGGCAAGGCCGGCAAGTGAGGAGCACGTTGAGGTACAAGGAGAAGGTACATCCGCAAGGTTGAAGGTTGTCATCGACAGCCACAAGGAGAAGGTACATCCGCAATCAATAGCAGCCAAAGAACATCCATGCACGCACCTAAGTGTTACTGCTACCTAATGGCTTGTCACTACACAGCAGTGCAGAAGATGGACGAGAAACAGCGGCGGAGGTGAGCTCAAATCTGAAAAGGAAAGGGAGAGAGGGGGGAACACAAGGGAAGGGCCATGGGTAAAATGGACTTTTTGTGTCTCTTGTCCACATTGGCTGTCCTCACTAGCATGCTTAATAGGTGAAAGTGGCAAATGATTAAGAAACCTTCTCTCTGGTGGCAAATCCGTAGAGAAATGTAAGAATGGCAAACGGAGAGTAGCCATTTATAAAAGTGGCAAATAGTTAAATTCCCCATTACTAAATGTGCATGCCAATATTTTACTCCTATACTGTAGGTCTGTAGGATTGGGATTAGGTTCAGATAATTATGAAATTGAAGTCGATATTCTTGGGTTGAAATGCTGGACTATACTAACATGGAGACATTTGTTTCAGCTAACAAATAAAGCCAGAAATCAAGTAAAAGCAAAGGATTCCTTTTTAAAAAACACAAATCATGGTATGAAATAGTCAAACATAGGCAATACCTAAAGATCTTAATCCATTCTTGTCAACAAGCCAGCTTGGATCCTCAACTTCAAGAGATTTTGCAGAGTGCAATGTGTTTGGATATTGTGTGGGACAAGTCGTGTCCGATACTACAGACAAAAAATTGAGCTTAACATAAATTTTCTTGGCCTTCAAGATTCACAATGAATAATATTATAGCCCTTATAATAAATTCTAGAGAAACTAATTTAAATTATTGATTAAAAAGCATAGCATATGGTTACTTCTTCTTCTTTTTTTGCGAGGATAGCATATGGTTACATTGTTTACAACTGAAGGTAGTCATGATCTATAAAGTTTTGAGTTCAATCAATTATTAGTGAAAACCAAATAGAAGAAATGGAGAGTTAACAACAGAGATAAGTATGGTGCATTTTTACATAAAGACGGGGTTTGATCCTTGTCATTAGGACAATTTGTTGCTTCTTCCAGTGACCTAGAGTTCCTTGCTGAAAACAATAGAAGGCACAACTGTAAATTCCAGTAGATTATTTTAGAAACATGTTAGTAGGACAGAACAATTGACAATTTAATGAATGACTATATGATAAGATAATTCAGGCCCTTATATATGGGCAAGTACATGCCCTGCAGGACTTTTAGGTGTACACAGTCAAATGCTCATTTACAGTATATTGATGTAATTTTATGTAGGACCCCTCTATTTTAATGATCATGGTTTCAACTCAATTTCCATATATAGCAGGACTATATAGCTGTTGCAAACAACTGTATTGAGTCACCAAAAGCTAGAGCACTTACAAATTTCCTCCTGAAGAGATGACTTGCTAACTTCTTCCAGAGGTATTGTCTTCTGGCAAAATTTATCTGTTGGCAAAACGATATTTAGCACAAATACTGGCTATCAAGATAATAAATATATTCCTCTAAAAAAGGGAGATGAAGATATTTGGTGGCCATTTTTGTTTGCATAAAGGCAATGCATAAATGATAGTTATAATTTGTGCTGTGTTTAGTACTGTTCAGCCTTTCCCTAATCTCAAACCAAGTACAATAGTAAAATTGCCAAAATTTCAAAACAAAAGGTCCCCCGCAGACTTGGACACTTGGAGTGTGATAAGCAGTTTATCACTTGCTATATTTTTTTAAGACGTTTGGTTTATTGAGCTATGTTTAAAAATGCGGCTGGCAAAGAACGCTGGCCAAAGAGAGAAAAGGCAGTACAGGGAAGCTTGTTGATTTAAAATACACAACTAAGAAGCAACAGAGGGAACACGGCAGTTTGCTACAGCCCCCTCGCGCTACTTGAGCTACTTTCAGATCGCAGCACTAGAGCTATATTTAGAAACTACCAAAGGATAGCACTGAGTACCTTTGTGATTTTTAAAGCATGCCACCGAGCAACTGCAAGGGATAATGAAACCGTTTGTAAGGCCCAACTGCATTACACAATAGAGAAAAAGAAGCCAGAGAAATTGAACGGACCATGCTCTTAATTGGTCTACAATATGACATGTGCTCTTTTGCCACATATGTGTGTATAACATGTAGCCCTGGCCCCAGTTGTCATACACCGGACTGTGGCAAATGAGCCAATGCCATTCAACTTTAGGGCAAAAGAGCAATTTTACCAAACAAATCTACAGGACACATAGAAGATGTCCAACCGTGATTGCATCGCTGAACAGGTATGTTAGTTCAGTAGTCCATTTAGTTTCAGGGAATCTTGAAAAACAGTTTGTTTAGATAATCATATTTGGCAATCCTAAGGTTACATCCTTGAAACAATTGTGCAAGAGAAGTCATAAAGTATGATATGTAATTCTCTTGCGTATTCAAGAAAAAATAAGCAAAGTATTACAGATTATTGAATGATGGACGTTTGCCTCTGAATACTAATTCAATACAGCTTAGTACCAAAACCAACACTGACACCAGATATCAGGAGAAAGGTTTACATGTCTTGTTTTGCTGCTGCCTTTTTTTTTTTTTACTCATGCAAAACCACTCCAGCAGCAAGCTACCGAGTCAAACCCAAAATATATCAAGCTAATTCTGATGTAGGCTCATATTCTAAAAAGAAGCTAATGCTTCCAACCATTAATCATCAATCTACTCTATTGACCTAGCAAACCCGTACTCTCTTTTCAAGCAGTAAGCAGTGAAGTAATCGATGTGAACACAGCAAGTAGGACATTGCACTAAAACCGTAACAAGTGTTCTTCAATTCAATTGTTATGCTAGCTAGTAGGCCATTACTGAGCACCATGATCGAAGCGATTTCCCAAATTTTAAGGACAGTGGTATGCGACGACGCTACCCATGGAAGCTGTAAGCACAGAAGGGTGGAGATATCCGGTGGCTGGACTTACTATGGCGTGCGGCAAGCGGAGCACTTGTACTTGGACGGCGCCTCCTTGCACACGTCGCAGCTCCCACCAGCCATCTCCAGCCACCTCCCCTAGCCCCTAGGGATTCCTCCAGGCGCGACCTGCACCCCCAGACCCGTCTCAGGTGTCCTGTGGCTGCTGCGGGAGCGGCGAAAGGAGAGGAAAGGGGGAGGGGACGCGCTGACCTTTTAGGTGCTTTCAGCTCGTGCGGCTAGGCTCGCTCCACGGCGCGCGACGGGCGCCCTCGGCCGGCGGCGAGCGGAAGAGGGCGGCGGCGCCGCGGCGGCAAAGGTAACGGGATATGCGAGTGGAGGAATGGGTGTGGCCGGGTGGCTCCGTTCTATGCCTGGGCCAGTTTAGTGGGCTGGTCCAGCCCGCGTGGCCGCCCGCGGTGGCTGTTGCGGAATAAGTTCACTTTGGGTCCCTTTATTTGTCGCCCTGTCCGATTTCGTCCCTTGACCGCAAAACTGGATACGACCCATCCCCCAACTTATAAAAACCAGGTAAACAAGGTCTCTCGGCGGTTTTGATAGCGGTTTTGGCTGACGTGATGCCTACGTGGCTAATTTGACTCGGTCTTTATTTGACGTGACACTGAGGCACTTACGTGGCAATTCGATCCGGAAAAATAATAAAGCATGTGGGACCTACATGTCATTTTCACACATAAAGTAATAAAAAATAGTGGGACCCGCATGGGCCCCACATGTTATACTCACCCCTCATCTTCTTCCTCCCTCTCCATCTCCATCTCCCCTCCATCTCTCTCCTTTCCTCTCTCCAGCGGCCTCTAGGCGCCACGGCTCACGGGGTGACGGGGAGGTCCGGCGGTGGCGGCCGGCGACGTGACAGCCGCCGGCGGCGGCGAGCTCCACCTCTCGGCGCAGCCGTGCAGCCGAGAGGTGAGTAGGTGATCTGTGAGCAATTAGCAATTACCAGTTACTGACGAAAGGTGAGTAGGTAAAGGCATTATTAGCAAAAACTGCATCTATCGGAACAAAGTTCATTCCGGTGGTCAAAACTCAAAACCCCAGCGAGCTGAGGTGTAAGAGCGACGTCGCCGGCCGTCGGATCGCGGGAGGGGGGGCTACGTGCTGGCGCAGGATTAGATCCATGAATCCATCCGTGCCGCCTACGCCATCAGACAGCCACGCGCGCGCAGGGTCAGAAACGCGCGCGGCTGCACGGCTGCACGAGAGGTGGAGCTCGTTGCCGCCGCCGGCTGTCGCGTCGCCAGCCGCCACCGCTGGACCTCCCCATGACCCCGTGAGCCGTGGCGCCTGGAGGCCGCTGGAGAGAGGAGAGGAGAGAGAGGGGAGATGGTGAGGGAGGAAGAAGATGAGGGGGTGAGTATAACATGTGGGTCCCACTATTTTTTATTACTTTATGTGTGAAAATGACATGTGGGTCCCATGGCTTTATTATTTTTCCGGATCGAATTGCCACATAAACGCCACGTCAGTGCCACGTCAGATGAAGACCGAGTCAAATTAGCCACGTAAGCGCCACGTCAGCCAAAACTATTATCAAAACCGCCGAGGAACCTCGTTTGCCTGGTTTTCGTAAGTTTGGGGACGGTTCGTATCCAGTTTTGCGGTCAAGGGACGAAAATCGGACTGGGTGACAAATAGAGGGACCCAAAGTGAACTTAGTCCGGCTGTTGCTGGATCGTCCAGGCTTGCAAGGCCCTGGCCCATCTATATAATTCTAAGAGTTCCTTTTTTTTTCGAGGAAAATAGGAGATGTTTTCTGATTTCCAACAGGAAATGGATGATTTATTTGAAATTTCAGCGTTTGAAACAATGTTTTAACTATGTATTGAGTTGATGACTGCTTTTGCTCTTCTTGGGTGTGGAATATAGGATTTCGCACTAATCTGTGACATTTTCCCCGCGTCTGGAATACGCAATTCGGTATCACTTTACTGTATTCTTAGTTTCTTTGTGTTTATCAGTGATCACTGGTCCATAATACTCCCTCCGTTTTACAATATAAATCATTCTAGCATTTTCCACATTCATATTGATGTTAATGAATCTAGACACATATATCTATCTAGATTCATTAACATCAATATGAATATAGGAAATGTTAAAATGATTTACACTGTGAAACAGAGGAAGTACTTCCTCCGTTTCACAATGTAAGTCATTCTAGCATTTCCCACATTCAATATAACATCAATATGAATGTGGGAAATGCTAGAATGATTTACACTGTGAAACGGAGGAAGTAGCTCGCAACGAAATTGGAGAAATAATGTGAGGATTATTCGAAGTACCATCACGAAAATGAGCCATTTCCTGGTTCAGTTCGTATATTTTTTTCACACGATGAATGATTCACTCGTGCTCAAACCACTCCAATACTAGGATTACAACCAATCCACACACACACCAACAAACAAAACAAAGCTATGCAACATGCCGACGACCATGGACAAATCTTATATCCGATACCGGACCAGCGGGTCCTTGAACTGAAGCCGCCCATTATACACCCTCCACGCAAGGTCCTCGAGTAAAAACGAGTGAAATCTCCACCCATCCCCATCATCGCCGGCTCCATCCACCTCGTCGTCGCCGCCCTCTTCTCCGGCATCCGTGACCGGGACCAATGGCGAGATGACACTGTCCAAGGGGAGAGTGATCAGCACGGTGACTGACAAGCGGTCAGCCTCGGCGCCGTGCCCTGCTCCGGGTGCAGAAGAAACGGGGCGAGCCATCCCTCTCACTTTCTTCAGCTTTCCATTGCTCCACACCTAGCACGCGTGCCATAAAAAACAAGAGGCATTAAGGCAAATTCAAGCAAGTTGTTACTGCTTTGATGCTGCTCAAAGAGTAAAGGAAACAACAGACATGACATGATGGTCACTTTGTGGTTTCTCTTCAAAAGCCGAGATCTTTGACTCTTTTTTAAGGTCCTTTGGTGGATTCCAAACCGAGCTGTGAGGCAGTGATGCACCGGTTGATGCAGACATGGGGCCTAAATGGGTCCAAATTGAGTGGTGACGCACAGCCTATACTTTAGAATTTGATGCCTTCGCAAAATAAAAATGGATGCTTTTTAGTACATGTCTATGCTTCTTAGAGACAGACTCTGCCACTCACGAACAATCAACACATCTTTTTTCTGTGGTGAACGACCAGCAAATTCGTAGCTGTAAAACCTGTAATTAATTTTACACGTTTGCCATTTGTTTTTTTAATGCAAATTACAAACTGAATCAATAATATGAGTGTCTACATGTCAATCATTTATGTGTTATCTGTGCAAAAATTAATGCTCTAATGTCCTTCCGTTTGCAAACTAGTCAAAATGAGACATTTGCACGCAAGTACCTGAGCAATGTTGCCGATGGTGACAAGGAGTGCGCCGTCGCGCGCGCCTACGGCCGTCCACTCGCCGCCGTCGTCCATCACCCAGCTCGCCGGCGCCGCCTCCTTCCCGGACGCTTCCCACTGGCAATGGATGCCCACGACGTACGGGTACGCCTTCGCCTTCCCGGCGGCCGGAGGCGCCGCCTCGCCAGCGGCAACCTTGGAGACCCACATCAAGCACCTCGCCTTCCTCCTCCCTTCCGCGAACGGCGCCTCCCCGAAGCCCACCTCGGGACACCCGGACATCATCGCCACCACCTGCATGCCCACGTCCCGCATCCGCCGCGCGTACTCCGCCGCCGCAGCCGGGAGCGCGCCCATCTCCCCCTCGTCGTCGACGTCGAACACCAGGGCGGGGTCCTCGGCGCCGTCCGCTTCCTGCTGATCCTCCTCCGTGAATCCGAGCGTGAGGAGGTTCGACGCGCGGCGCGCGGACGCGTCGACGAGGGAGAGCTCGGCGAGCGCGGAGGACGGCAGCTGGGAAGGGACGCCGTGTCCCTCGAGGTGGAAGTACCCCACGTCGGCGGCGGCGTCGAGACGAAGGGTGCCGCTAGAGCCAAGCGAAACGAGAGGCGGCAGCGACGGCGGGGCCCTGGAGCGAGAGGAGAGCGGGGAGCGTAGAATCGGCGCCGGAGAGGATAGGAGCAGGCGCTGGAGGATCGTCGAGAGCGCGGCGTCCGTGCCCCCACCCGCGGCGCCGGAGGACGGGAGCGCGTGGTGGTGGTTCGACGGCGTCGGCGGGGGAGGGCCTGGGAACACGCTCCCTCCTCCTCCTCCTCCGTTGGCGCCGGACATGGATGACGCTGCGGCGGTGGAGGAGGAGGCGGCCATGGAGACGGCGGCCGGAGCGGTGGACTCGGACTCGACCGACGTGGAGGAGAAACAAGTTTTTGGTAGGAAACTGGGAATCGTGGCTGGTGGGAGGCGTTGGCGCCTTGGCGGCGTGGCGTGGGAGAGGAGGCGATTTATTCGGGTCTAGTTGGTCTGTCAGTGTGGGCCCATCTTACGCGAGAGTGGTGGGCCACCTTAGGAGATTGAGCCGACCTGGACCGGCGAAGCAGGGGATGGGCCGGAACAGGGCTTTATTCCTGACCTCAACTACTCCCACAAATCCCTCTTCTCAGTTCTGCTTAGTTAGCTTGCTTTTTGTGAATTTGCAAATAAAAATCCTCCAAATTTTCAGTTGTACCTTGTTTTTCTCTCAAAATGTAGCAGCTCGTACTTTTTACTTCTACGAGACAATTTGTATTCTTTTCGGTGGTTCATTATCTCTGCACTAGCATGAAGAAATGGAAACGGAATAGCCTCAATTAGCTTCTGTGCTTGAGAATTTTTCACATTTATAGCCCATAAACTAGGAAAATGTTGAACCGGATAAGTGAAGGAAAAGGACCAATAGTCCAATACCACTCCACAGCGACTGACAGGTATATCTATCTCGACCATTGGATTGTTGCTTCTTCCACATAGCCCGGCAGCCGGCCATGCGTGTCGTTCTTGTAGCTTTCATACTGCGAAACACCTTCTGCAAAATGAAAAAAATATGTCCTAAATACACGAGCAACGACGTCTGAGAAATTGTCAAGTAATTCAAGAAAGCAACCGTTTGCCTTAGCAGTTTAAGAGCTGACCCCAGTGATTAGTTAGGAGTAGCTTTCTATCGCTGAACACAAAATCAAAACGCTTCGTGTCTCCATTGGACGGAGAGACCAGCACGAGACGTGAAAATTCGCCATCCTTCAGAGATCTTGCCACGTCGTGGGACTTGTCGGATACGCACACGTACGTGCGATTAATCTGGCACGACGATCTCTTTTCTCCTGTCGTTTCAATATATTATTATACGGTCGAATGGATCGACAGGGACAAATGGCATTGTAGACGGTGACACAAAATGCAGGGAAAGAACAACATGTTTGGCGAATCATGCAGAGCCGAGCTCTCTTTTACTAGTACTAGTACATTTCAAGGACTTTTGCGGCTGCGATGCTTAAATTATGGGAAGGGTGTCCATTCTATTATCGTCTTTTAGTGCCCTGTTAGAATCTTGCATAGTCAGTATCATGTACTAGCATTTGCTATTTTATTGCCCGTGTGTATGCTGTAGTCTCGGCTGTTAAAGAGAACTGTTTGCTTTGTCTTCATGCACGGGCGATATTTGAGAAATTTGTAGTTGCAGTCCTTTAGAGTTGATATATATTGGCCTTTGATAAAAAGAAGTGCAGGGACAAATTCGTTTTTATGGGAGACCTTCCCCCGGAAACAAGCTTGTCTGCAGCGATGTGACGCTCCAGTTTCATGCGTTTTGGTGTTAGGTTGGACAACATCTCCATCAGTGACAGACATTATACAAGTAGAATTTCTTTACATTAATTCATCATTTTCCAGCGATATCTTTATGGTTTTGTAAGCCATTATTACCTACTAGTATCTTAAATAATCAAGAAGAGAATGATCTCTTCTACCGGAGGAAAAAAGGGAGAAAAATATATGCCTCGCGTGCTTAGTCGTTGGATCATGGATTCAGAGGTCTAGATTAAACCAGCAACCGTGGGCTACTCCAAGAAGAATGGTTAGCATGGAAAATTGTTCCCTCAACTATGGTTTGAGTTTCATTCACGTCCCCCAACAGCTCAACTGTAAACCAGTTATATAACATCCCCTAATTACTAACACAAGTGCAAATCAAGTCTCTCGACGCTTTAGACAACGGTTTCATCTTACGCAGCATCATGTGACTCGTTGACCAAACGTTCATCTGACGTGGCTGGAAACGGTACGTGACTTGATGAGATGTGGTTCAGGCTAGGGCCATGGGTAATCAGGCTGGGGCTCCTATCTCTAGCATCGCCCCTTAGACCACCAATATGGTGGTGTGGAGCGACGAACGAGGATATTATTGCTACGGTTGCTATCTTGCCTTGCCGCCACCCTCGAGCGTCGACTGAATCTCTTCCACCCACGCTACAATCCGTGATAAGTTGCTCGAATCTCTCTTCCACCCAGAGCTATGCCAATGTGTTCACTAACTATGGCCATTGCCTGGCTCCTCTCGATGGACGCTTGTCACCCGTTTTCCACTGCTACAAAATTATCGGGGATACAATGTTCTATTGATGGCAAATTTAGTCACACAGAGGAAGGGTAGACGAAGAAGAAGGGAGGAGAAGGATGGCATGGTTGCCATCGTTTGGTGACTTCTTGGCCAGCAATCATCCGTCTACCGCTCGTCACATTCTCCACTCCAACGCCGAGCTATGACCTCAAATCCTCTTTCTCCACTGCCCTTGAGTCCCCCTTCTCTAGTACGAGGAGAGGAGAGTTGGACACCCGCAGCGCCAGCTGTCCTTGTTCTCGTTCGCAATAGATGGTGGGCAGGCAACGGTTGGGACACCTAAGAGGCGAGAGTGAGGAGTCGGGGTGACTGGCCGGGTCGAGAGAGAAAAGAAGATAGTAGAAAGAAAGTATGAAATGAAATGTGGACCCTATAATTTTTTTATTAACTTTTTGTTGGTTGGATTGTCACGTCAGACGAACATTAAGTTAATGTGCCACATATATGTCACGTAGGATGAGTTTGTCGTCCACACCGCTGAGGGACTCGATTTGCTCTGGTTTTGATATTTGGGGATGCTCTGATTGCACATGCGAACGTTAAAGGAAACTCAGACCCCGGTGTGAGGGACCTACGGTGGACCTTTCGCTGGTTAGCATTGCTCCATAAGTAGGTCCAAAATTCTGGAAAGGTGTCCTAAAGGAAAATGTATACTTTGACTCCCATGATTCATGTCCTCCAACTACAAAACCGGGTATATCGACTACTCCAACTCCAATTATCAAAACCAGTTTTGGAGGTGGTTTTGGCTGACATGGCGCCTATGTGGCGGTCTTGACCGAGTTTTTGTCCTACGTGGTGCTTACGTGGCATTAGAATAAAAAAAATAAAAAAAATATGTAAGACCCATATGTTATTCACACAAAAAAATATTGTGGGACCCGCTGTCATGTGGGTCCCACATGTCATCCACTCTCTCCTTCCCTTCTTCCTCCCCCTCTCTCTCTCCCCCCGGCCTTTCTCTTGGCCGGAATGGCGGCGGTGGCGGTCGAGACGACAGCGGTGGCGGTGGGGACGAGGATGGCAGCAGCCAAGGAGTGCAACGCTGTGGCGATGGGGAGGAAGAAGGGAAGGAGAGGGAGGATGACATGTGGGTCCTACAATACTTTTTTTTGAATGACATATGGGTCCCACATATTTTTTATTTTTGTTTTTATTCTAATGCCACGTAAGCGCCATGTAGGACAAAGACTTGGTCAAGACCGCCACGTCAGCCAAAACCACCGAGGGACATTGTTTGCACCGGTTTTGATAGATGGAGGAGTCGATATACCCGGTTTTGTGGTTGATGGACATGAATCATACTCGGGCAATAGTTGAGGGAGTCAAAGTATACTTTTTTCTGTCCTAAAAGACCATTTGCAGCAACTAGCAAGGCCCAAACGATTACATGTTGAGCTAGCAGGCCAACTTCTACTGTACCATATGGAGTAGGAAGAGTATGAATGTGGGCCATCAGGCCCAGAAAGAAGAGATTTTTTACTGTCCAGCAGAATTTTTGGTACCGCGCGGTACTGCAATCGTAACCGTCCATTCAGCCAGATCAAACGACCCACAATCGTCGGTACCGCGAGGTACGGGAATCCGGTGCGGGGTACCTCCCCCTTTGTTCGCGTGTATGGAACTGGTGGAAGGGCAGAATTGGATTTTCGCGTGGTTAGTCAATTTTCGTAGAGACGGTACAAGTCCCCGACCCGATAATCTGTCTCTTCCCGATCCCCTTCCGTCGTCCCTGGCGGCGGCGCAGCCAATCTCGCCGGACTTCGCTTCCTCCCTCACTGCAACCAGCCGTCGCCAACTTGCCCATTCCCAACTTGCCCTTCCTGTAGCCAGTCTAGGTCCGGCCGCCGCCGACTTCTGGGAGTCGATCTATCCCTGGATGACGACGACCTCAATGCGCAAACAAGAAGAGGTGACCATGGCGACAAGCTCAGCGTGGCGAATATGGCCTCGACAGCTCATCCGCCGACACCATCGCAAGCCTTTGTTCGTGGAATCGCCATCGCTGTGGTATGCATTGGATCGCGAGCACTAGCAACCCTGGAAGGAGGGGACAGAAAGAAGAAAAAAACGAAGCTAGATATTGAGATGTCTGAAAGGCGTTTGGCCATGGATCGCACAAGCAAGAAGAAATTGGGCAAGCAAAGAAAAGAGATCGAAGAATTTCAGAAGTTTGTTTATGGGATCACTAGTTGTAATAGTGTCCCTTTTATTCAAGATAGTTGACAATTTGTTCAATGACCGCCGATGTTGATTTTGTTTAAGATGAAACAGTAAGCTTAAGGTCTACAACGAAAGAACAGTTTACACATCAGACCAAGAAACTACAAACTTTCAGAAAATCTACTTCTTTTTTACTACTATTACATTCATACTTTCAGCAAAATCAAGTAGGTTCATTACATATATCAAAAGACAAGGAACTAGGTCCAGAACTTGGCACACAACATAAATCAAACTCAGCCTCTCCCATCAACATAGCATATTCTTCCAATGAATATAGCAGCAAAGCAATGTTTCGTATTTCTTTCCTGCTGGACATTGCTTTGCTGGTCGTCGTCATCCAGGGATAGATCGACTCCCAGAAGTCGGCGGCGGCCGGACCTGGACCGGCTACAAGAAGGGCAAGTTGGGAATGGGCAGGTTGGTGACGGTTGGTTGCAGTGAGGGAGGAAGTGAAGTCCGGCGAGATTGGCTACGCCGCCGCCAGGGACGACGGAAGGGGATCGGGAAGAGACAGATTATCAGGTCGGGGACTTGTACCGTCTCTATGAAAATTGACTAACCACGCGAAAATCCAATTCTGCCCTTCCACTAGTTCCATACACGCGAACAAAG